GGCCGCGAGAGAGACGGAGAGTCAGGGAGAGGCCTCTTGCTTGCGAGAAGAGGCGTCAGTTTCCACGTATTAGCTGGTGGTAGGTACCAAGAGCTGCCGTGACAGCTCACCAGTGCGCCAGAGAGTGGCACAGAGAGGGGAAAGCGTGGAGGGGCACCATTAAACGTCATAGTGTGGCTGATGGGGATTAGTGGGGTACATGGGGCAGTAGCGTGTGGCTGAGCCGGGCTTGGAGAGCACGCGATTCGTCTGCTGTGTGGCCTCGCGAAGGGAATTAGTGGGTGTTGACGGTGTGCAATGTGTTCATCCCTGCTCTCTCAAGTTCCCGCTCTGGCTGGAGGGCATCCCCGCGGCCGCCGATGAATGCCGCTGCTGCTACTGGTGATGCTGCTGCTGCTGCTGCTTTCGGGGTGAGCGGTGCGGGAGCGGATACATGTTGCTACACCCGCCGCCTGTTTTGGACGTTTTGCTTCACGAGGGAGTGTTCAGAGTTCTGGCCTGCATCGTTCCATGCGGATGGAAGAACTATCGAAGGTTGTGGAAGCTTCATTCCCGAGGTGACACCAGGTTGGGCGCGAGTCAATTGCTGCATCGAGACTGAGTTCCGTCGCTGGAGGGAACAGAGTTCAATATGAAGCTTCTGAAGCTTCTCGCTTGACCCGACCGAACGTGTGAGAGTGGGCAGATGAGTTTGTTTTGATACAGTTGATACAGTCGTCGATGCATCACTTGCAGCATGAGATGAGATGGCGGGCGTTTTGCTGCCTGCATAGAGCTTCTGTCTCTTTTCTTTTCAGGTTTCTAGAGCCGTGTTGGATGATGTCCAGTTGGAGACGCAGCCGCAGTAAACATGGCCAATTGGACAAATCGGCTTTCGGTTTCGGACCGGACGCTGCTAATGTGAAGAATTCGGGGATCTGGTTTCTTTCTTTGCTTTTTTCTACGCAGCGGGCGGCGCGGTCGTGCATTGCATGTGCTTGCTGCTTGCCTACTTGCTCACCCCTTCCATCGGACATTCTCCCAGCCCAGGTCCGTCCGCCCGTCCGGCCGCGCGCACCCCCAAGACAGACAGACGGGTAAGCCCGCCGGACCTCTGTTTTGATTTATCTGTTCTGACATTTGTCCATGTCTGGAATTAATTCGTACATGTGTTTGACTTGTTTCCCGAGTCTGACAAGGAACGGCGACTAATCAGGAAGACGAGTCGTCGTCGTCGCAGCAGACGCACTCAAAATCGGGCATTCGCAGGGTGCTACCTCGCGCCGAACCTCCGAACGGCCAGCCATTCCCCGGTTGCGAGCGCAACCTGAGTTGCCGCTTCTGGCCAATCCCGTCCAACCACAGGCTTTCCCGGTTGGGGGCAATTTGGCTTTCGTCTTATGTCGCCCGGTATTCAATCTCTTTAGCGTTCGAGAAGGCTCCTGTCTTTCTACGTGATCCACGACAAGTGTCTGATGTTCGGTGCCGCTGTCCGCTGCGACCAGCCCGCTGGGTCCAGACAAGCTTTTGTGATGCTGCAAAGCTGCGTTTGAGACACAGGCCGGACGAACTTGCCTCGGCTTTCGATGGAGTTGCCAGTTCGAGGGGGTTAGTTGCGAACCGAGGGAAGGGAGCAGGAGAAATCTGAAGGTTTGGATTCTTGGTCATCATGACAGCAATTGTGTCTCGCCTTTCATCCGGTCGGCCCCCAAAATCTTGATTTCTCTTATTTAGACAGCAGCGGCATCCGGGTTCCGGAGTCGTCGCATCCGTCGTTTCTCGTATCTTTAAATCTGACCGCACACCCGCTTGCTTTCTTTCGAGTGCGCGCGCGCCCGGCCTTCCCCCAAGTCTGACAGCACAAGCGGTTTGCGATTGATTTGCGCCGCCCAGAGAAAGATAAATAAAGAAGACGAGACGATTTGCGAGAGCGACAAGCACAGCAAGCAAGCAAGACAAGCCCAACGCCGAACAGACCAGGCTGCAACAGGACAAGCCTGGTTGTCAATCTCACTTCGGGGGTAGAAAGAGAGAGAGAGATCCACGCCTGTTGATAATCACGTCTATTGGAGCTAGACCACCGAACGACAGGCAGCCAGACAGCCCTCTTCGGCGATCGAAAGCAGGACGAACCTCACTCACAACGAGGCACCACCGTTCGGAGCTCCGGCCGGTGAAGCGTCGACGCACCGGACATTGACGCGACCTGAATCCATCGCCCCGCAATTTTAGAGCGACCTGGGCGCCTGTCCCTGCGCAAAAAAAAAAAAAAAAAAAAGACGCCTTTTGGCTTTTTTCCTGCTGCTCACTTGTTGAGGAAGAGTGTCGATCTGCTTATCCGTACCATCGTCCTCCGTGTGTTGCGTCTTATCCCAGACGTTGAACGAGCGCAGACGGCTTCCGAACCGGGCACTTTCTTTCCCTTCCTTTCCCCCTTTTTCTACACACCTATTACCCTCGTGCATAACCTCGCTCACTCTTTTCTCTCTTCTCCCTCCCTCTCTTCCTCTCTTCCTCAACTCAGTCTCAGAGACAAAAGATACCCCGAACGAAAACACCCTGTCGGTCCCGAGTTGACAACCGCGCTTCTGCCCACGAACCCCAGCAGAACCAACAACTTACACCCACGCACCCCAACCACTCTCCTCGCCCCCCCCCCTCTCCCCGTCTCTGCCCCCCGGGGACCCCATCAACAAACACCTCAACTCCCTCACACACACACAAACAAACCCCGGTCTCGCGCTCCCCAACAATGCCAAGCGCAACGACCCCGCCCGGCTCCGGCCCGGACACCACCCTCCACCTCCCGCGCATCCTCTGCCTCCACGGCGGCGGCGTCAACGCCGCCGTCTTCAAGGTGCAGTGCCGCGCCCTCATCGCGCGCCTGCGCCCGCACTTCCGCCTCGTCTTCGCCGAGGGCCCCTTCATCTGCGCCCCGCACCACGACATCGTCTCCGTCTACGGCGACTACGGGCCCTTCCGCCGCTGGCTGCGCTGGCTGCCCGAGCACCAGCCCGTCGTCGACGCCGAGACCGCCTCCGCCGAGATCCACTTCCAGCTGCGCATGGCCATGGACGACGACGACGCGCTCGGCGCGACCGGCGAGTGGGTCGGCCTGCTGGGCTTTTCGCAGGGCGCCAAGATCAGCGCGAGCCTGATGTACACGCAGCAGATGCTGCGCCAGAAGTACGGCCGCCGCATCGCGAGCGCGGGCGGCAGCGCGGACTGGAAGTTTGGCGTGCTGCTCGCGGGCCGGGCGCCGCTGATCGTGCTGGACGACAGGATAGACGCGCCGCAGGGCGTGGGGGACGCGGCGGAGGCGAGCGTGGTGTTTGACGACTGGCCGAACGGGAGCGGGACGGACCATGTGTTGAGGCTGCCGACGATTCATGTGCATGGGCTGAAGGACCCTGGGCTGGAGCAGCACAGGCGGCTGCTGAAGGAGTACTGCGAGCCCGGGTCGACGAGGCTGGTGGAGTGGGAGGGGAACCACCGGGTGGTCATCAAGACTGTGGATGTTGATGCCGTGGCGAGGCAGGTTCTGGAGCTGGGCGCGGAGTTGGGGCTTGTGAGGGACATCGAGGCATGAGTGATTACTGCATAGCGTTGTTTTGGTTTGGGCATTTTCATTATTTTGGGTGTATTTACTTTGTTGCGTCTGATGGATATACATAGACCGGAAATACCACGTCGTCGCTTTGTTGTTCTTCATGTCGTGTACACTCCCGTCGGCACATCGTGATACCCCCTCTTGCCGATCACATGCGTCAGGTCGCTCCTCCAGTCCTCGCCGCGCGCAAGCCTCTCGACGACCTTTTCAAACGTCCACTCGGGCCTCCACCCGAGCTCGCGCACCGCCCTGGCCGAGTCGTACACGCGGTCCACGCGGTCCGGGAACCTCCATCCGAGCTTCTCAAACACGGCGCCCGCCGCGGGAACGCACTCTCTGTACACGCGCTCCGCGTCCCCACCACCACCAGCATTCAGCCGCGCGAGGGTGTCTGCGTCGTTAGGGAACGGCGGCGGCGCCGAGACGATGTACTTCGCGAACCCGATCTGCGCGGCGCGGCGCACGGCGCAGACGACGGCAGAAACAGTATCGGCGATGTCGAGGCGGCGGTGCGCGAGCTCGCAGACCTTGAGGTTCGCGTCGGCGGGGAACTCGGCGCGGCGGGCGGGGTCGTCGTCCTGCTCGGGGAAGAAGCGCGACGTGCGCAGGACGAGGCAGGGCAGGGATGTGTGCAGGTGGTGCAGGCGGACGAGGTCCTCGGCGGCGGTCTTGGTGGCGCCGTAGATGTTTTTGGGGACGGGCGGGGTGGGTTCGGTGATCCAGGCGGCGGGGGAGCCGGGGGCCGGGGCGAGGGCGGAGCCGTAGGTTGAGGTTGTGGAGATGAAGATGAAGGATTCGAGGGAGGGGAGGTGGGCGGAGGAGGTTTCGAGGAGGGCGAGGGTGCCGGTGATGTTGGTGTCGATGAAGGCTTGTTTTGGGTGCGAGGCGACGTGGGGTTTGTGCAGGGTTGCGGCGTGGATTATGTGTTTGATGGAGGGGTGGGAGGCGAAGAGGGCGGCGAGGGCGGCGCGGTCTGTGATTGAGAGGGTGCGGGTTGTGGTTGAGGAGGGGAGGATGTCGATGCCGAGGGGGGTGTGGCCGTGGGAGGGGAGGGAGAGCATCAGGGCGGCGCCGAGGTGGCCTGAGGAGCCGGTTACGAGGATGTCGTACTCTGGTGAAGACATCGTGGTGATTTGATGACTGCCTGTAGAGGTTGATGTGTTGAAGGAGTTGGTTTAAAGGAGTTGACCTAATATAGCTGGGGTTCGGTGATGGTTAGTCATGGTGTTGAGGCGTGACTCATTGGTCTACCGCGCCAAGGGAAGAATGCCATCGGTAGGGCGTGAGTAGGCGCGCATGGCTTGTGCCCTTCGCCTTGTAATTGATTAGCGGCCCAATTGAAGATGCAGCCTTTCTCGGGACTCTGGAGTGTGTTCAACTACCCTAACCATCCGTTTCCATCGATCCTCATCTACGGGCTGTTTGTTCCAACAAAAACCACTAGGACGGCTGCATACGCGGCTGTGCTAGCCAGGACATCCTTGGCCTCATTGAGAAAGTAAGCCATTAGTATACCAAAGGCAGTAACGAAGGCTGTTGTCGTAATAAGTGAGGTGTAGAGCCCTTTCTTCAGCACCATGATCCACATGGGTCCAACGAGGAACGCGCCTCCGGTAGCTGCAATCATAATACGCTCTTTGAACCCTCGGTACCATGTCTTTGCGACGTTGTTTCCGCGTGTGCCAGTGATCAGTTCGCTGGGTCCGTCGAGGCCCGTGTCCCACGTCTTGATGGATTGAGCGTGGCTCGTTATCTCGTTGGCGAGAGAACTATTAATGTTGCAATTGAGAACGTAGTTGTCTACGTTGTACTCCCCCGTGGCAAGGAAAGGGTCTCTGATGGACTTTGAGCGGTGCTCCATGTAATCGTGATCATGAACCGCTTTGACTATGAGAAACAACAGAAATTGGTTAGTCTTTCTTACTAAAATTGAATACTGACCTTAGGTCAAGACTAGAGAATACGTGTATCCGGAGCCTGGATGCTTGGGGTGGCTCAAGGTTCAAGGGAAATCGATTCATACTGTACTCCTCAAGCGTCTGTTCCCAGCCAGGCGACTCACGACCTTCAAGGCGCATCTCCGCAACGTGCCTCACCAGCTGACATTGCAGCTTCCGAATTCGCATCCGTTGCAGCTCAGCAAAACTGACGCGGAATCGCATTCCGTCCCCAGAGGATGGTGATGATCTGGACGGGGACGCTGGCGTCGGCGCTGATGATCTTTTGTTGCCATACTGGATTTCCCGAATCTTTGTGGCCAATTTGCCAAACTTAGATCCAATGGAGCTGATCTCGGGCTCGTCCAATCTTATAATTAGATTCTCGAGGTGGTGGTTTACAGCCCAGTCGCCTGGTTCGTCGGGGTCAAGACGGATCGGGCTTTGCACTGGCGGTATTGGATCAATCCCAAGGTTACTGTCTGAGCTACGACCGCGAGGCCTGTTGCTGGAGAAACTATTGTGAACTCTTTCTTGGCTATCGGCCGAGGAGTGGAAAGGTTGAGATGGAGTACTGGGCGCGGGCTCTCGATCACGGCTGGTGGAACGATCGGGTCGGTGGGATTGAATGCTATCTGGTCGGCCAATGCACTCGCGCCGAGCGTTGCCAGAGTGTCTGCTTGAACATGAAAAGGAAACTGCGGTCTCATCGCGGCAATCTGCAGCGGAGAGATCAGCAAAAATGATTTTCCTAATCGACAATGGGCTGCTCACCAGTCTTGTTGATGGAGGAGCGAGAGCCCGCCATTTCGATATCAACATCCAGGGAAATGCTAGTAGGGGGGCTGACGTAGGGGCTGTGATCGTCCATCTAAGCTATAAAATCAAGTTCAGAGAAGATGCGCTGTCACGGGGCTTTAAGTCAGGCGTTTTTCTTTCAAGTTCTCTCACCCTTTGGGCTAAAAGTCTGGGCATTAAGAAACAACTCCCTCGTCCGCAGCTCGTATACCATGCGTACAGCGCCCTGATAGGCGACCTGAAGCGGCTATGTAGACGCAGTGAAGTGGAGGAAAATGTGATCTAGCCGCTGAGGAGCTAGCTGCATTAACGGGGCCACGTCACCTACGCATACAGCTGGGCAAAACGGGGCAAAATCTAGATCCATTCTATCGAGAGAAAGATGCTTCTTTGATGCCTGATCTAAGCCTTCTAATCTCAAAATCTCAATCAGATTGCATGCCTCCAAAAAGTCACCAAATCTCGCGGTACAGTCGAGTTGCAGGTCTTGCCTCGAGCCCACGAACACGTACAAAAATTCCCGAGTGAATTTTTCGTCCGTCACTTTTCCACATTCCTCGCACCCCAGCTTACAAGAGCAAAAGGATATCGGCTGGTGGTTCTCGGAACCTGCACAGCATGTCCGACACCAACACTTGTCGACTGCGCGTTTATGTCCACGTCAACTCTACGCCCGCGAAGATCGAAATCGAGTTTCCTGACGCTGCTCTAGCCGTACGCTACCGTCAAAGTATTAATGGGAGCAAGAAGCTCTTACCGTCAAAGCCTTCTACCGTCAGGATGGAGATGCCACGTGAAGCCGTTGAGCTCGAGATGTCCCGATCGCTTGGGTCCATCGTCCTCCACTTCAACAATGTCAGCAACGCAAAAAAATGGGCTGATGACATTTCTTGGCCGGTCGCGGGTCAAGCAAAGCAAGTCTACATTAAACAATCCTGGAATGACAGAGAATTCGCTGAGCTGAAGAAGGCATTGGACGAGAAATGGCGGTCCCCGGGGAAGGGAAAGATAGATGTTCAAACTGCACAGCGACACCCCACGCAGCAAGACTCTACAAAGCGAGACCGTGCAGGGCTGCCGCCGAGGCGCCCAATGATGTCAGTTGAAGCTCCTGAACGGACGCAGAGACTTTTGTCAAGTAGGGTGGTAGCGGACGGTGTCAAGGTCCAGGTAATGGCCCAGATGAAAGCTGCAGACAAGCTGAGGGCAACATCATTCCGAAAACTAGTTGGGATGAAAAGTAACCCAGATAGTTAGAGTATCTTGATTCCCATACCTAGGCACCTATCTTGCCCCTCTGGGTCTCTGCCGGCTCGGGGCCTGGTGTCTGCGGGCGCGCCTGCCCGCTCATAGCAGTCCCGGCGGTGCAACTGAAGATATCATCGCGCTGTGATTGAATATATCGTTGTGCGACCCATGAGAAAAAGTTCAAGCAATGAGGGGTCTCCGTCCTAGGACTGGAGGCCGTACACAGACAAGAAATCCAGGCTCCAGCAGTTGACTGGCGATCCAGCCAAGTGAAACATGTTTCGTAGCTAAGTGACAAGATGGTAAGACAATTCGCCTAAAGATTCTGGTGCTAGAGCGGTCTCCCGTGTCCCGGACAAAATTGCGCGACAACGTCATGGAGGGACGTCGCCGTAAGATGCGGTCTTCATTTGGCAATCAATCCTTTTGTTGGCGCAACCTGGACTTTCGAGCTGTTCTTGAAGAATTAAACCATCACTGAATTCTAAAGCCCTTCCGTTTTACCTTGAGGTGCGCTTTTGATGTCTCCCTCACCTTTGGTATCGCGATCCTTGCGGTACCCAGTCTCTCATATGCATCTTGCCCACCCTCGCCATCAACCCGTCGCAACACCATGAGTAGTAAGTTGTCCGTCCCTTGCTCATTCAAATCGCCGAAGCCAATCTCAATCTCCTTATCCAGCTCCTCAACCTTGAGCGAGGATCCTCCGCCATCATCCTTGAAGATAAGGGCATCCCATTCAGCGTCGAGAAGGACCCCCTTCTCCTCTTCTAGAGTCGGCGTGAAGAAGCCAAATATTGCTTCGTTCTCATCTGAGAAAACTTCAAAGTAAAAGTGGCCCTCGTCCTCGAAATCCATGTCGCGAAGAGTCGCAACTGCAGGACCTTTCGAAGACACAATGCGCCCGTGAGATATTTTAATGGTCATTACAAGGCCCTCGAGATAAAGAAATTGCCGCGTCTCGGGGACGATGCTGGTGAACTTCGAACCATGGTGGGCGTAGAATTCATCGAAGTGCTGCCGTTGCCAACAGCCGGCCTCGTTATTGACCTCTACTTCAATCTTGACGTTGGAAAAGGTGGAGGGTAGTGGCAGGACAGCCTCTTGGTTTCTCTGAAAAACCAAATCGCCCGCATTCATTTTGGCGTTCTGAGGCCGATCGAAGCTGAGTTCCAGCGGCCCTTCCCATCCCGCCCAGGACCAGCTCGGAAACTTCGGGTTGCGTTTCGCAGGGTACTTGAAGCTCCAGTCCATAGCCTGGAGGAGTCCCAAGGTAGCCGTTTGGTGCACTTTGTCATCGAAGATGGCCTCGCTTGAGACGCGCAATGTTGTGAATATCGGTAAACCCCAGAAATGTCCGAATGGCGGTGTCGTTGTTGACCCTCGGCTGAGTATACCAAGCATCCCGTTCAAGTTGTCGCTAGTAAAAGTGAGAGACCTGGTCATGTACTCTTCGATCAACCCAAAGACTGTCGGCCCCTTGTTCAAGCTCATTGCCATGGGAAAGTTGCGCACGCTTTGCGCTGCTTCGCCATACATGGGCGGCCAGATCGGTCCATCCTTGCCATACCTGAATGCTGTGCCGTACTTGAAGAAGATGTCGTCCGGGGCAAAGACGGCTTCCGTACAATGTGAGAAGTTACACTCAAAATAGATCTGGTACTCCGTGAATATGAGACGCCGCGTAGAGAGAAGGCCCTCTTGATATGTCCACCCTCGTTCGGTCCACTTGGCGTGCTTAAGGAGGTTGCTGAGTGGCGGGAGAGAGGATACATAGAGCGTCTCCCCGATTTTGACTGACGGCTGCCGGAGCCGCGACCGGGTGCTTACTCCCGGCAGGCCGAAATTGGCGTCTTCCCCAGCGCAGGCGATGATGGCAAACACGGCCGCCTCGTAGATGATGTGCATGTTGGCGAGCTGGTTTTGTGTATCCTTTCTCTTCTCGGGATCCTGTTGCACGTTGCCGCTTTGGTCGATGCAATACCTGTCTACCCACAGGTAGCCAACGCCGAGGTTCCTGCAAACTACAAATGCGTCCTGGACGACTCTCGGAAACCCGGTCTCAGGGGTCTTTGTGCCCCAGACGTAGCTCAAGGCGACGTATTCTTGGCCTTCCGGAAGAGAGACTAATTTCTCTGTCGAGACGTTCATTACACGGAATCCGGGGATGTCTCTGGCGGATCTTTTGTTCGGGTTTCCACATCCAGTTGGGTGGTATGTGCGACAAGCATTCAACCAACCTTTTACGATGTCGTAGTCGATGGTGTCAGTCGTGATTCGCCTCCCGGAGAAACGGCGATTTCTTGCATTGACAGGGATGACGGGATACAGGTACCCCGAGGACCCGGAGTGCTGGCGCAAAGAAATTCCTTCTTGCTCAGGATAATACACATGCGGCGGCTTCGGATCGATGGCCAAAATCGCTGTGTCTTTTAAACGGCGGGCAGCCAAAAGAGGTCCGATGTTATTCCCATGCTCCGTCTCGCCCGTCGTCTCAAAGTTGACGTATGTAGCCGACACAACATTGACTTCGAAAGGCGAGTCGGAGTGACCACGAGTCGATACTTCAAGCCTGGTGCGCACAGCCGTGAATACGTTGCAGAGGGGGCAAGATGCAGTTGCGAAGTCGTCTGGAAATCGGCCCAAGTCGGCCACCTTCCTCTGAATCGTGTTTCGGTGGCATGGGGTGCTGCCTTCGTCTGGTACTTCGTTGATCATCGCGGCTCGGATATCCACCGCGTTTGCGGTGTCTGTAGCGCCTTCCATCCAAAAGTACCACTGAACCCGTGCATCTTTCTCGTCTTCTTTGCTTTCGGCTCCGACGTTGGCGTCTTTGGAAATGGCGTTGTTGTATTCGGATAGGGTCCTCTCTTCCGGTTCGGCGCCGTTGTTGGATTTGGCATCTCCGCCTTCATCATCTTCATTTTCCTGAGTGGGCACCACAGGGTCCTTAAAGGTTGACGATCTAATTTTCATGAGGGAAGAAGGGTCGGCATCTTGAGGGGGCATATCAACTGGGTTCGGTAGAGGGTCCAGTGAAAGCCTGGCGCATCTTTCGCAGATTTGAGCCGTCTCATCGACAGGCTTCACTTCTGGCGGTGGATTCGTGTCTCTCGGAGGGGCACTTGTTGGATGATGTTCAATCTGCCGACGCATAGATCCAAGAATGTCGTTGATTGGATATGTCAACGTCCGCTCCTCGTCATTTGGGTCCTGTACCGTGTGACTGGCCTCTGCTTCTTTAAGCAGCCCGGACGAGTATAGTATTGATAGCCTGTCTGCCACCCATATCATTGAGTCGTTCACCCAAGGCATGGATTCATCCTGGAGATGTTCAGGCGCGGGTTGAAACATATTGATCGGCTCTCCCTAAAAGACAAATTTGCAGAATCGAGGTGTGGGTGGATGTTGGGTTTGGGATAACCGGCAAGGGCTGACTAGAAACCTCAAGGACGGTGATTGTGCCCTGCTGAAGCTGCACAAGCTACAAAGTGTTTTCGCGGTAGAGCGCGAGTAGCAGATTTGCCTAATGCCTGGACCAGGGTTGCATTTGCGACCAATTGCCGGGATATCCGCCGTTCTCACCTAGACGTGGGTGGTGGCTAGGCACGCATCCTTCTGCAGCTTCCTCAACGATTCTGTTGGACAATGGGCTGTCGGAAAAGTGGAACTATGCATGATGTATCATCGGATTGAAGTGCTGCCTGGTGCTAATATGCCTCACTCATAGGCGGCCGAAACTTTCCGGTCGCCATAATTCGACAATGGCAAGCTTGCTTCCTCCTCCTCAGAAGCCTGCAAATATCAGTCTTTGCAATCCTTTGAAAAATTCGAGTACGCCAAGAGGTACCGCAAGCAATCTGTGAGGCGCGATGGTCACCGAACAAAGCCTCGAGTCTATATTTCCCGCCTTACGACTGGGGCATGTTGAAGGACACTCAAAGGAGCCCGAAGAAAATGAGATTGGCGACAAGATTGCATGCGGCAGAAAATGCACGTCAAAGACCCTCTACGGAAGCTGGGATAACGAAGAAGATGACTTCATCTGGTCGGAAGAGTATCCGGACAATATCGCAGAGGCGGCGGAAAATGAAGAGACGATGCAGTGCGCCATACTTGTGAGAAAAAGTGAGTTTTTACATGTCGTATGTCATGCCAATTTACACAGCCCTTTCTGACAACATCCTGCAGAGAAAAGTACGAATCCAAGAAGATCTCTGGAGATCCACAGCATAGTAATTCAGAGCCCGTTGATCAAAGAGGTGCTGAGCGAAGTCTTTGCCGGATATCCTGATTGCAACCTTGAGCTGGAGCGAACGGAGATCGGCGCTCCATTCGGTCCGTTTGTCCACCGATGGGACGGTTTTACATCTGCTCTCGAAGATGAGAAGTTAGACGAGGAAACTCGACAGCATTTGCAACTATTGAACGACGCCATTTCTCCTGAGGTGATGGACATCATTAATAAGGTTAAAGACTACAAGAAGAATAATGTCGTTGACTTCAAGTACCTGTGGGCCATTTTCGAGCCAGGGTGCACTGTCTTCACTATAGAACATGGTCATCAAATGGCAGCGTGCTTCGAGACGTCGACCTACATTGAGACTCAAAACGGAAAACAGCTACTTCTATGGTGCAAATCAATCAACTGGGAAAAGTTCGACTTTGGATGGGAGAGCAAGAGACTTACGATCAAGGAGTTCAAGAGCACCATTCCCATATCATCATTACCCGTCTTTCCCTTGAAGAACCACAAAGGGCACGCAATTATCGAGCAGAATCTCATCCAAAGAGGCAAGCTATTTGAGAGTCTCTGCGGACTGCAGTACAGAGATTACGATGGGCAAGCTGTCCAAGTTGTACAACTTCAACACAGTTTCGAAGTTCGGGAGAAGGTCGTCAGGGTACAAGAACGTATTGTCATTGACGCCGAGGCGTATGACAGGTTCAATCCCCACGACCAGACATTCACTCATCCGATCTTGGATGACAAGGAAAAGAATGTGGAGTCGTCCCGCTTTGGAAATGCGGAGTACACCGTGATCCCGATAGATTTCGTCAAGAATGGAGAGTCCAAGAAGACCCTCACCGAGTACCAACAGCTCCTGTGCGTGCCGTCGGTTCGCGGCTACGCTCTCAAGACCAAACGATGGCTTCGACTCAGTGTCTCCTCCGTGAAAGAGATCGAGTTGAACGAAGGCGCCTTCAGTAGCTTAGTGCTGCCAGAAAATTACAAGAAACTCCTACGCGCCTTTATGGAAAGTCAGCTCCAGTTCAAAAACGACTTCGACGATTTCGTGGCGGGAAAGGGGAAAGGGATCGTCATCTTGCTTTCTGGTAGCCCGGGAACAGGCAAAACCCTCACTGTAGAGAGCGTTGCCGAAGTCCTCAAGGCGCCTCTGTACAGTCTCAGTGCTGGCGATCTTGGGACCGACAGCGGCAGCGTTCAGGAACGTTTAGATGATGCCCTCCAGCTTGCCGCTGATTGGAATGCAGTGTTACTGATCGACGAATGCGATGTGTTTCTCGAGGCCCGGAGCAGTGATAATCTAGACCGCAACGAGCTCGTCAGCATATTCCTCAGAACGATAGAGTACTATGAGGGGATAATGTTCCTGACTACCAACCGTCTGGACTCGATCGACCCTGCCTTTCACTCAAGAGTACATCTAAGCCTCGAGTATCCTGGTCTTGAGCAATCATCTCGAAAGGAGATCTGGTCGGGATTTCTGGGCAAGATTGGAAAGGGGGATCAGAGTCATGCATTGAGCGAAGAAGATGTTGGAAAGCTTGCGTCGCTGGATTTGAATGGTCGCCAGATTAAAAATGTTCTGAAAACGTCCAATCTGCTCGCCTGTTCGGAGAAGACAAGGCTTAGATTTGACCACGTGAAGACTGTACTTGAAGTATGGCGTTACAAGGTCCAATGAATTACCGAAGCGCGGCGATGGATACTGTTACCCTTTTCTTTGGTCACAAACAATATGATTAGTCCAAAAGTACAGAAAAACCACAGCCTTGGATTCAATCTCAAAGAATAACAATACTCGTTGTGATTCAACTCAGCCATAAACCTCTAAGGGAGCACTGGTATGTGGAGCCCACCCTCAACTAGGTCAAACCACAGACCACAATAGCCATTGTCTCGCGCCGCCTTTACAAGACTTGCGAAACCTTTGAGTTTCGTTCCATATCCCAACTCTCCGGCGGTCACTGGGGACACATACTTGATTACCCGCTCACTAAGAGAGTCGATTTCGAGAGAACTGACTAAGAGAGGTAACCCTATTGGGAGTCTCTTCATTTCCACCGGAACCCACTGGATGAAGCACTCCAGCTCGACTGTGATTTTCAATGCCAGTCGTAGTGCAGTGTCGTCTTCAACGCCGAGCGGATATTGGAGGCGATGAATGATAAGGAGAGTCGCCAGACGGTATACCCGAGCTTGTAGCATCATGGCCGATACTTCTAGCCGAGTAAATTGGCTGAAGAAAGTGGTAGGCGGTGCCGGCTCCCACTCACGCACTCGTCGCTCAATGTCGGCCAGTTGATTCCTGAAATTCCTGGGGCGGAGATGCATAGGATTATCAGATAAGACTGACCCTGCACAAGCCGACTTCTTAGCCTCGTGGCTTAACGTGCAGAGCTCATAGAGAATGTAGATGAGACCACTGCAGAGTCCGAAAGTCCTATCCACCGTATACCAGTCGCTGCGTGGGGGCTGGATGACAGGTATTTCTCGCTTTACGAGGCACTCGACCGTGTCGACAAGTATTGAAGTAACTGTGATAGGGTATAGACAGGGCTGAGAGAGCAGCGAGGGAAACCAGTCTTTGACCAAAAGAAGTGATTGCCGAAGGATGGCATGTGCGGATGTGCCCAAGAGGTTAATATGGTAGACGACTAAGACCTGCCCGAGCATGATAACGGCGGCAGCATCGTGTGCATCGACGATGGCGGCAGCTTGCAACTGCTTGAGACAGTTAGATCCTTCGCGAGGATTCACTTCGTCAAAAGGTCTCATTCTATTGTGCTGGGCATCCCACAGGGCCAGGGCAGCCAGGTAAGCGTCCAGGAGAACACCGCCCGAACGGGCGAAAACGACCGTTATCGCGCCGCGAAAGCTGTCGGAGAAGCTGGGGCCAATCATAAAATGCCTATGATAGCTGTAAAATGTCTGCTGATCTGACAGGACACGGTGAAGATGCTGCTGCCGTTTGGCTACCAAAGTGCGTTCCGGACTGGGCAGTTGTAAAGGGAGGTTGTAGTCATAGACGGCCTCCACGAGTGTGAACAGATCTGCGAGCGACGAATCGTACGTCCAAGGCGGCTGGAAGAAGTTATTGCGAGACATGGAATTAAGCAGCTCGGGAACATCGCTGGTATCAATGTCGACGTCGGTTCTCTCGCGTGAGGCCCGCCTGCTGCGCGTCATCGGTTTCGTCAGTCTCCCCTGCCCCACCGTACTCAAAGCCCCTGATGTTCTGGGTAGTCCCGATGCCATTGATCACCATGCTCTCGATTCTGCTGCAATGTCTAGCAGAGCCTTTAAAGTCTGAGTGCATTGGGGTCGCAGGCTGTCCAGGCAGCGTGTCGTCCGTTCCAAAACTGAGAATCCCGCAACTGCCATATGGGACCTTCTTAGCCATAGGCGGGCGACCCATGCGCCGCACCCGTCGCTCGAAGGAGCAACGTGTGCTTAGAAGCCTGCATTGCCGACACTGATGTTCGTTGGCGTCGAAGAGGCATCGTCCCTTTCTGCGATAACAACCGTCGCAGGCTGTCCGAGGCATGAGAGTTGGATTCTGCAGGGCCCGCAGAGCGTTCTAAGGAAGCCCAAATACAAGTGCAGGAAGATGACTAACTGTCAGGTAGGCGGATTTGTTGTCGGATTGTACAGGACAGCTGAAAAATATCGCGGTCGAGATGGCGAGAGGACAAAGGGGAGAAGAATCATGGGAGAAACAGCGAAGTGAGACGATATAAGTAGCAAGACAGGGTCGCTGTTGTGGAGACACACAGGGGTAGTGCTTTCACCAACAGTCCAGGGTCAACACCCAATGCCCCTTGATTATGGCTTCAAGGTTGAAGGGAAAAGAAACAGACTGTATCGTATCGGTATTAATTGCACTGGTGCCGTCGAAGTTGTGTAAAGTGTTGACTACTACTAGATGATACATTTTGTGAAGAATTCTTTTGTGAACACTTGTATGACCAGGGATACATGAGAGGTCCCCCTTACTCCAACCACTCCCTACATGTCTAACCGCCCCCATCAACTACTATGCCGCCCTAAACTCTGTGTTATCCTCGCTGTACCCTAGACCTACTGTCCGATTGAGTCCCGGAGGATCTCCTGGAACCAGTTTGGCAACCCTCGAAACCCCGACAACCAGGAAGCTCGGGACGGGATGATGAGCTGAGCGCCGCGACGGGAGAAGATTTGATCTGCGACAACCTTCGCCACGTCTTCGGGCTTCATCATCTTGTTGGTGCCGCCACGCTCAATCGCCTTCTTATCATCCTTCGTCATATCAGTGGCCACCCACATGGGATGGACCACCGTCGTCAGCACACCTGGCGATCGATAAATATGCTTGATTTCGCCTGTAAGACCTTCGTGAAATGCCAGCGCGCCTGCCTTTGATGCCGAGTAATCAACGGCTGTCGGTAGCGAGATAAAAGAAGCCATGCTCGCGATTGTGACGATATGTCCCTTATTCTTCAGTATCATATTCGGTAAGAATGCTTTAGTCGTATACCAGAGTGCCATCAGGTTTACCCCAAAGAGTTTTGACGCCTTCTCTGGAGCCAAGTCGAGAATGGAGCTTCGATTCGCCATGCCAGCGTTATTGATCAGGATGGAGGTGTAGCCGACCATCTCTCGGATGCTATCTGCAGCCTCCGCCACAGCAGAAGCCGAGGAAATGTCGCATTTCCAGTAGAAGACGGTGTCGATCTTTTGAAGCTCCGAGGGGAGTTCCGCTACATCGAGGATTGCGACTCGCAAGCCTCTTTGGACAAGGGCCAGGACGATGGCTTTCCCGATCCCATTGCAGCCGCCAGTGACGACGGCAATTTCTTCAGACCAGCTCCAAATTCCACGTACGAAAAGGCTCCAATTGTTGGTTGCACGAAGATTCTGGATACGGTTCAAGACGCGCCCTACCCCGAGAGCGAGCAAGATCTTGAGGACTGTCTTGAGGCCCCAAACACCAATCCTGAGCTGGATGATGTCTGAGTTGGTGATTTGGGTGACGAGATTGGGCGGGCCGTATATTAAATACGCAAGGGCTGACGCTGAAAGAGCCGGGTTCAAGATGGCGCCAACAACAATGTGTATGGATTTGACGGCTCCTTGAACCAGAGTAGCCATGATATTTGTTCGGTAAAGAGAGCAAGGCGAAGATGCCAAAATGTGATGATTGACTGGATGATGAGGTGAATTCCGTCAGTCCGTTTGAGTGCGCATGCTCCAATTTATGTCTAAGTTTGTCACTTGCCTGTCGGACGACCCTCGCACATGATGCCAACTTCCCATCGTCTCACTGATACCTTGGTTCTTTCTTCACTTCAACTCCTGTCTAATTATCGCACAGCAGTCCCGATGACCCCGGTAAGTTCCAACCACTTTTGGCATAGCGCGATTTCGCGGACAGGGCTCGTCGGCGACTTTCTTCCCAATACGGAGGCCTGTTGGAGCCGGGCTTGGTTGGGGTTCCACTGCCACTGCTTGCTCTCGCCGCTTGACCGGTACGATGCGGGATGTGAGACCATGGGAGCCTGACCTCTACTGATTAATCTTGAAATCCTGCAAAAGATCTGACATTGATAAAATGACTGTGGACGAGAAAAACCATTTGAAGCATACTATTATTTTCTGTCTTTTCCCTTTTTATAACACCGCCTAATTTCCCTGCGTCTGCGCGGCTATATTTCCTATGTACTGAATTATTCCTGTTCAAGACGATAGCAGCGATTACGGAGGAAAGAGTGTGATATGATATGTGGGTCCCGGCCTCAGCGCGCGAGCACGACGAATACGACGAAAGCGACGAAAGCGACGATAACAGCCATAATGACCCAACGTAGAGAGCAGTCTGACATTGCCATCGTTGGAGCAGGAGGTACAGGAACCAACACAGCCCGTAACATATGTCATCTCAAGCGCTCCAGTCATATGATTATGCTCAATCGTGTTGCAAGCCCAAGGCTCCAAGCAAGTCACAAAGACAAGGTATGTGGCCAAATGATAGATTCAAACGTCGTATTTCGTTTTTAATTTCATGACTAAGCCTAACAATGTTATGTTGTAGCTGATGATCAGTCCTTGTAACCAGTGAGGTTCCACTGCCGAGTCACTACTCGACAAAGTTCGTGGATGGCATAAACATTGTCCCTGCTCAATTTCAGGTTGCTCTGGAGTCTGACGCGTTCCTCCATGTCGAATTCCCGTTTGTTCCACATCTCCCAAGTAAGGAAGCTATGCGGGAGAAAGTTCGCGTGTTCAAAGTCGATGATGATGATCCTGCTGTTTGGGTTCTCTCTGTCCTCCATGATGAAATTGTGTAGGTTGAGGTCGCAATAACACAATTTCAGACCCTCAGGAACAAGGTTGGCCTGGATCATATCTGAGCGTTCCTGGAGAAACAACCAGTCAATGTCTTGTTATGTCCATATCAATATGTCAGACATACCTCGACGATCTTCTTGTTTACGAACTCGTTGAGTTCTTCCAAGTTCGCAAACTCTCTCGGTGCATCGGAATCGTCCTTGCCAAAAGCCCAGTTCTTGATAAGGCCGCCCCCGACAGGCCCAGGGCTGACATCGCTGGGGGGTGGAAATGAAAGAAGGAAGGAGATTGCATCTGCGACCCGGTTCTTGAAGGGAGCTTCCTTTTCGGCAATTTCTTCAGCTGATAGTTCTGTTTTACCGGAACTCTGCTCTGCTTGCTGTTCTTGGGGAGGCGATGCAGAAAGCCCCGGCGTCTCTTCTCCATGTGCCTGGCTCTCATCGTGCGTCTCTGAAGTAGCCAGTTCAGCCGATCCTTCTGTTCGGTTTGAGTCTTCGCCGCTCTTGTCTACAGATTGGGCTTCAGGAGGTAATACGGCAGACTCTGAATTCCCTTGTTCATGCGCGTGGTTTTCATGACGCCTCAGTAAAGCAGCCCGTTCGTACTTCCTCTTCGTTTCCTCAAGCACAGCACGTACTGCTATAAGAGGGTCTGGTCTGATATCGCTTGAGATTTGGGCCACGGAGGTGCCCGTGACGTATTCCATTACAATAATGCCGTAAGGAAGCAACTGCGATTCGTCAAAGCTGTGCAGTTTGACGTCAAGCTCTGTGTCAATGAAGTCGAAAACCCGCGGGACACGGAATCGCTGCCTAGCTCCCTCATCCATCTTGGACAGCTGTTCGTATACGTAGTACTGCGTGTTGGCTTCTCTTCTCAGAGAATCGCTGTCATGTCCGTACTTTACCCAAACGAACACGTCGGCCGGCAGGCTCTTCGGAGAAAAGCGGAAGCCTCGCAAATTGTCGTAATACGGCCTTTTTGAGCATTCCGCGACATTTTGCAGCGTATTTTGGAGAACTTCGTCGTGATCAGGCTTCCAGCCAGATGGGAGATCCATTTCGTGGGCGGAAAAAAATGCCTTGGTATCGTGCCTCGATAGGATGATGGTTTTCGAAGAGCAGCAGAGTGGGAAAACTGTCGGGGTTTTGCCAGGTACACCTCATTGAATGTGGATACAGTGCGGGGTAAGGGTCGGGCAGCCGAATCTACTGTGCACACCCAGCGCTTACTTCGTCGTCGTGCCCATTCCTTGGAAAAATTGCTCTCGGCTTTTCTCACGTCAACTAACTCTTTCTTTAGAACCAGCAGACATTGCCCCTCTTCCAATCCTGTAAGCGCTTAATATTTTCGGTTTGGAATTGCATTAGCCAATGGGAATCACTTTGTGGAGTTGCATACCACCATCTGTTGGTTATCGTTTTGCTCATCCCAAGATATCTTTGGCTGATTGATCGGCGCCAGCCATCTCGCAAAAGCGACGGAGCAAGGGCTCTATCGAGGGTCACAATGCTGGAACGTCCCGTCTATGCGCTATGTTGGAGCGTTCAAGTGGTAGGCGCCCATATGTCTGTAAGGAGGCGGCGTTCTGATAAGTCAAGTAGTCGGTTGGAACTTGTCAGGGATGAAGGTTACATTCGGTCGTGCAAAAGAGCAGCAGGTGATCATTTGATTCATGGCCCTGCATTACACGGCCAGCCACTTGGGTGCTTGGTCGCCCGGCCGAGCCAACAAGCAACAAACTGTCCAATAGTCGCAAGACCAAGTACTCCTGCTTCAATAGCTCTCTTCTTCTAAGCGCCGTGTCAACTAAGCGCCGGTTCAGGAAACGCTTCTACAACAGCTCTGACAATCGGATTTGGGACCGAATCATTACAACATGACCGGAGATCTTCCTGGGTATAAATGCAAAGGCCTAGAAGATCTTTGGGCTTCATCAGCACCGATCATCACCTCGCACATTCTTCGCAGAAGTTCATTTCCTGGACTTACCTTTGCTCGAAGTCTTCTCTTCAACTTGTGCAAAGTCCTGAGACTTTGGACGACGACTACCTATTGTATTCTTGGCAATTTACCGCATGAAACACATACCCATTGAGCCAGCATGTTTGCACAGAAAACCACACCGGATACATCAGAAGAGGCTCTTCATAGGCTCATGGAAAATGCAGTGGTCAAAGGAACTATTGTGGAAGTTCTTATGCCAAATCCGGGCAACACTGCAGATCCGTTCAAGGGTGAAATGGGAAAGAAAAAGAACCATTGGGTTTTCCGCTTCACAATCAGCAAAGGGTAAGTGGCATATTTCTCAACTACATATTTGCTCAACGTAGGGCCCAAGATCTCTCTTCAAAGCCAACGCTCAGCTGATGGCATTGCTATCACTTCAGCATTTGTTTACTTGATGATATTCTTTGGTTCTTAAAAGGAGGCCATCCTGGAACGAGATCTGCTAACATTCGCGACCTTCCAATAGCATACCATACCATCAGAGGGGTATAAAGAAATTTTGTCTCAGTGTTAGAGCATCGGTGGAGCATCCCTCGGGCTCATTGAATTGCCCGAGCGTCAAATTGAGACCGATGGCCAATGACCAGCAGATATCAAACAGCGCTATAGCGCACTTTGGATTTCGAACCCTCCGCAGGGGTCTCACAATCAAAGATTTCATACGAGAGGCCAGTTGTTTGCTACCTTTCAAATACGTCATTGTAGCAAAATCACTTGTTCCAGCCGCAACGTCGTCATCCACCTCCAGAAGAGGAGGATCTGGACGATCGGAGGACCTACAGGAGCATCCAAATGGCTGCCGCGACTTTACGTAAGTAACATCACATTCTCACCATCTGATGAAACCTGCGAGAATGAAGCTAAATCAATGTAGCGCGCAATGGTTCTATCGCCTTCATCGCGGTGGGTACATTTCTTGGGAAACTCATGACCCCAGGCATGTGGGTGGCCTGCCAGTAGTCCAGAATAGCGAGGCCTTTCACGACTTGATCGGCTACAGATACAGCCCTGGCAGAGTCGATGTCTGCCCGATTGCAATGGCAGAATTGCCACCCAATCAAAGATTCTTGAACTGCGAAGTGGCCTTAGAGTATAACCCAAGTGTTGGAACTCCAATTCGGAACGCCCCTGACGAATTCGCACATCACGTCAAACTTCCGTACCAGAGTACACAGCCTCCGGTGCAGGTTTTCAGACCGGCGACTGCTGCTCAAAGGAATTCAGCTAGGAGCAGGACGGGCGGTTCTCGTCGTTGATCATCAAAACTCCAGGTTGCCAAAGATGATGTTGAGATCATATAGAATAGGGTTGTATTTACTGTTAGGAAAGGTTTAGTTTGGAATTCTGAGTTTGTGATGCACAATACTGCGGCATAAGACGTGAGTGAACCGGGAACGGACTTGTGTCTCATGATGAAAGTCTTTACTACATGGGGAACATAACGATGCCAATGTGATCTTTTGATCTAGCCTAGTTTCTGTCTTGTTACTGCGCTAATCGTGCCTCCCTCCTCCTTCTCTTCTGTTTGTTTCTGGTACAACAATACGCTGTGCAGCCCCCCATGACCAGAACGAAAGTCAATGAGGTAGCGATGATGATGGCCATGAGTTGTTCACCACATGCCCTACCCCCCTGAGTCGGATCGCGACATGTAGCGTCGCAATTCTCCGGTATCTCGACCGTCGGCGAAGGATCACCCGGGATCCACAATGCTATTGAAGCCCCCGATGGGAGGTCAGGAGGGGACGGCGTCATTACAGCCTGATCTGATTTCTCCCATGCAATTCTCCAAGCAGGCTGCATGAGCAGACCCTTTGTGAAAGGTATTTCTGCATCAAGAACGACGCCGGTACATGTCTTCTGATCTTGCTTTTTCAGGCGCCCAGCGCAGGCGGGATAGAGGATGTTGTAGTTTTGGTCACCGGTTGACCAAAACACCTCGCCGCTAGTGAGACTCGTGAATCAGTTGACTGAACATTGGTAGCTTCGAGTAACGAATGGGGTAGACCTTACGCTGCGCAACAATATGCAGAGGTGAGAGGTAGCTCTTGGTCGAAGACGGTCATCTGATGGGCGTGCCATCCCTCTGGGCAAACGGCTGGACTTAGAACGGCTTGTGTTCCATACATGGGGGGGCTAGTCCAGCCAGAAGGTTGACACGAGTGTTGATACGCAGCATCAGTGGGATGAAATACAAGTGCCTCGACAGTAGACTCGCTTGGTCCGATATGTACCCATCTACGGCGTGTCGAACAGTGAGAAGGAACAACGTAGGGAGTTGTCAAAGGAATAGGTGTATCTGTTGTTATCGTCGCCGCCGTCGTTGCCGTTGATACTACGGTCGCCATGGCCTTTGTGTAGGAGACTGTCAACTGTCGCGAGTGGGGTTGGAAAAGTTTGTGGAGCACCTTGGGGCGAGAGAAAGCCGAGATAATGCCAAACGAGTAGTTGCGGTTTTAAATCGTCGAGGAGAAACTGGCGTCGAACTGCATGCTGTGAGGGATTGTGCCATTTACACCGCTATCGTTGTTCGGACAGAAGGGTGCATAGGGGGTTGCAGGGCTTCTGAGATGCTACCTTCCCTTAATACATGGCCCAGATGCTGCAACGCCCGGGGACGAGTACAGACAAGGAAATCTTCAACTTGGCGTTGGGATACAACAGAGAAACTCTCGCCACTAGTCAAGCGGCACAGGAATTCAGCTCGACCGTCAAGTCATTTAACCGCCTTCCCGAAATGACCAACAACAAACGAAGCACCAACGCCTCGTTGATCATCCAATCGATCTGGACACTGGCGGTGGTTGGGAAAACATGCTGATCATTAAAAAGATAAAGCGGGAAAAACTGGCGTTGATTGGACTGTGCCGTGATACAGGAAAAGCAATTTTAGGCTGCATCAATTTGGGCCGTCGTTTGCGGAATGCAATTGCACCGTTCCGTTGCCAAACATCGTGCCTGCTCTCAAAACGGGGTTACGATGAGGTTCATATCGCTCTCATTGTTTCGCGGGAAAATGTGACATCGCTCGATTGACACTTGTCATCCGGGTCACCGCGTACCCAAGCGTACAAGCTGCGTCTGGGCTGTAGCTCCGAGAGCACGCAAAGTCACATAGGCCATGGTCCTTGGCCACGCTGAGAGCAGTACTCTGATTGGCAGTAGCCGTGGTTACAAGCCCAAGAGCACAAGCCAAAGTAGTTCTCGCTCTTTCCCTCGGCAAGAAATCCGCCCGCCTCTAATGCCTTGAGCTTGCTGACTGCCTGGCATAGGCAGGATGACACTGGACAATAGCCGCATTTGCAATTGAACTCGCAAAGCTCTTTGAACCTCTTAGCGCCGGTTGCCTTATTAAACCTCTGGAAGAGTTGAGGCGGTCGAGACTGAAGAGCTCAAGGAAGCGCTGCCGACCCAGGAATTCCAGTTTGCGAGGCCGCCCTCGCAGTTGTTGTGGATTGAAGAGCCATCGATCTGGTAAAGGTTACCCCTCCCCTCTGAATTCGAACTGAGACGGTGCCAGTGCTGGTGAAGGGGCTAAACAGGCCTATAAGCCAACAGATTCACGTAATTTTACATCAAAGAACATCAGAGGCTCCGAATAGGTCATATCCGTGAAGAAACAATACATGGTTCATCGCTCCGAGCCGAGGCTTTCGCGTGCATGGCAATGTCGGAATCCGGCTCTTTCGTCCTCGACATTTCAACGCTGATGTATACGATGGCCATAGCATCCGGTAATTCTCTCTACGTTGCTAGCCGGCTCCTCCATGACCTGCTACATGACGATTCAGACGCGAAGATAACACACGTGACCAGAAATCTCGGCAGGCTAGAGATTAAGCTCCTTGTCTCGCCTCATCAGCCAAAGGTTAAGTCACTTGCTGAGGACTCTTGGCAGCTTATCAGCCACGATTGCTTTGATTGCGAGCCGGAGGACGCTTTCCGGTAGACAACACTGCATCTCAGGCTTACAGAATGGAAGATGCCGATCGATGTCGGGAATCGCGGGCTCAGGGATGCCGAAATCTACTTTCTAGAAGCCCCAGTGGCCCTCTACGATCCTGGGGAATGGGTGGCAGACTCAGATATTCCTGCGGCCGTGTCAAGCTGCAGACTCCGGAAGTTCCGCACTTGTCAGGCTGCCTGCGTTAGCAACTTCAGCGAATTTCACTGACGTTCTGGAGAGGTGGAAACGGCTAACGTTGTGTCTGTCGCCAACTAGGAGGAGCTTCTCGACTCGTCCGTGAAACCCAAGGGTGCACGATAATGAGTTGTAAGTTCCTGTTCAGTTGTGCGTTATTACCAGGATCTAGCTATAATCGAAGCTCTGGAAGCCCCAGACGCCGTTAGCAACAAAAAGGACAAGCGCGATATGCCTTAGCACCGGTAGCTTTGGAATTATTAGCATACAAACCACAGGTTGAGGTTGCACCTTGACTTGACACGTCATCACTAAAGCTTTTTCTCGCAACTTCCCGCTGACGTGACACCGGACTAACACCGATACCTCATGTTAAAGCTGAGGTGAACGACCCAGATCCATCGGACTTTCAACGCCGCTCCTCGTTTATGGTCAAACTAGAAACGAATTCCCACTGCTAGAGAAACACAACAACAACCCAAGTCCCAAAATTGTATAAGAGGGTGTTGCTCTACTATCCACTCTAGGGCACCTTCTCTGAGGCGTCGCTCATTGCAGGCGTTCGATAAAAGCAGAAGAGGACGATCGCCTGAGCTTTTGGCGGCCTTAGAGCGTTGATGTTTCTTGCAGCGACCGCATCTCGAGCCACGATAGTTGAAGAAAACAGACTCAAGAGGTGCGGAAGAGTCATCCGCATCGGAAAGGGATGGTCGCATTTTCGACATCGTCGCAATGGCGTTTGCCGATGTGTCTAAGCGCTCCATACAGACTGAAGATAAAAACACGGTCCATTTCCCCTCAACCTTTCGATTGCGCGGGATTCAATGATACAGGTAAGGACAAGGGTTGAATGGAAGTGTACCTCCGATCAATGTTTCCGGCCTAGGGCAATCAATGTTGAATGCACTCGAATGTTCTCAAGTAAATGGAGAAGTAAGCTTATCTCAATCATGCGGGGAACTGCTCAGGGAGACGGCGATCCCAAGCTTGACACCTGCAGCCGCTCCAATTAGACTGCACCCTCGGAAGTTGGAGTGAATCGAACGGCATATATATTTTTCCTTGTTGCAGACGTTAACCCCACGGGGTCAGCCGGCTCATGCCACTTCAAGGAAGCTAAACCTACGTACTGAAGCAGGATTCCGCCAATGGAAAGGTCGTACGAGAAGAGAGCCAATGCAAGTGCGAGTTCACATCATAGACAATTGTTATAAATTTTATATTATCTTAGCAATGTCAAGCCTTAGCGGTTTAATCCTTTGGCAGTAATTATTATAAAGTCACGTAGAATGTCGCCAGTATTCGCCAGTTTGACCATCTCCTCATAGTGAAGACAACTCTTGAAGATTTCCTTATATCAGACACGAGATGAAGGGCAAGTCAACCTCTTTCAGCCTTCTGGCCTTGGTTCACTTTGTCGCTGGTGCTGCCGTTGGTTCCCACGACGGTACACGCCTGGAGAGACGCGCCGAGGGTACCGCTGTCGTCAACCTTGCCCAGACCTCGGGTACTCCTCAGCACCTAGCTTCAGGCTTCATCTACGGTCTTCCCGACAACGCAGATGGCTCCGCCAGCACTGCTATCCCGCAAGAGCTCGCCGTGGGCACTGGATATATCTATAACCGTGCCGGCGGAGCTCAACTTCCCTCTCCCAGTCTAGGCTACGCTTCTGGCCAGCTCACGGTATGTCTGATGTCCACCCTGACACCGGATCCATCACCTGACAAGCTTCTACAGGGCCGCCTGCAATCCTTCTCTTCCAATTACAAGACTGCAAGGAGTCACGGTGCCGGCTTCCAGCTGCTCGTCCACGACCTCTGGGGCGCCGACAGCGTCCAGGGCACCATTCCTTGGCCTGGCGACAATGGCAATTGGGCGTTTTTCGACACGTTTCTGACCCAGGTGATTGCGTACATCAAGAACAACAATCTTCAAAGTGGTCTTGAGCTTGATTTGTGGAACGAGCCCGATGCTCCTCAATTCTGGGGTGCTTCGTACGACCAGTATTTGCAGACGTGGACACGCATGTATCAGCGCTTCAAGTCAGTTCCAAGACACCAAAGCCGTCTTAATCGGGCCCACATAGTGAAAGCAAGCAACAGTCACTAACCAATATAGGTCTGAACTTCCCAACGTCCCCATCCTAGGTCCATCCATCTCACAGCCACCAACCACGGGCAACAGTCGATGGACTGCATGGCTTGATCACGTCAAATCGACCAATACTGTGCCAGATAAGTACACCTATCACATCCTCACCGCTACCGGCTCCGCCTACATTCCCCGCAATGCACAGGACGCCTTGAAGAGCATGACCTCAGCCCGCGGCATGGCCATGAAGCCTGTCAGTGTTAACGAGTACGGTGCCATCGACGGTGGCGACCAGACCAACTCAGCCAGTGCATGGTACATCGGCGCTTTCGAGCGCGAAGGCGTCTCCGGTCTGCGTGCGCACTGGGGCATGGGCGCGGCCAATCTGCACAACGGCATGGCCGGCCTGGTCAACTTCTCAGGGAGCAACTACTTCCGCGCTGCGCAGTGGTGGGTGTACAATTACTACACGCACTCCATGACGGGCAACCGTGTCGCGACTACGTCTTCGGGAGACCGCCTCTTCGAAGTATACGCCACCCGCGGCAGCAGTGCTAATTCGGTCAAGATCCTGACCGGCCTCAAGTCATCCGCTGGAGACCGGGTCTATGATGTGCGTGTCACGGGGCTCAGCGCCGTGGGCATCTCTGGAACCGTGAAGATCCGGACACTCCGTTTCAACCATGTCGACTGGTGGCTCGAAGGACCCGCGCCTACTGATCTTGGCACTGTTACGCACACCGTCACAAACAATGAAGTTACCTTCTTTGTCGATCCGGACAATCAGTACACCGCTTATGCTTTCGAATTTGTCAGTTAGAGGGTCTACAAAGCACTTGCCAAAGAGTATATATTGTCAGAGTAGCAAATAGGCATATATATATCGATGATAAATGATCTGAGTGGGTCTGCGTAATGTGACTTCCCAAAGCACAACACAGGTGAGTGAGAACCATGACCGAGGACAACTTACACCACACCAACGAGAAGCCGGCGATAGTGGCAGGGTATATCCTGAACTGGATCGTTAATTATGGTACTCAAAATGTGGTAAAGAGAAGATTTTCAGATGCCTGGGGAGTTTCTCCATGTTGCCTGTCCCTTGGACATTGGAGGCTGGTAATTCACGCTTTCCATAAGACCTTAGTAGACCTTGGCACGAACCTGTAAAACATCTCACAATGAGATAAGCTCATGATCAGGCCTCAGTGAGCCCCACCAACAATCCACTTCACTTGCATGGGCAAGGTCAGTCTGAAAGCGATCTGAGATCCCTGTCCACGTCGCTGACCACCATTGCAGGGGCAGGTGAGGAATTGTTGGGGCTGATGAGTTGTCGTCTTGTCTCTTGCCCAATCATGAGATCAATACATATCACTATCTTGTCATTACTTTGTTTATAATCTACGACCACGTAAAGTAGTTCTACACACATATATTCGAGTTCAGTTTGTTTAGAAGCAGAAACACATCACTGGTTGGAAAGAGTGAAGTGTCCGTATGCTGAGATCAGCTCTGGGTGTGTAATATGAAATGTGCAGCTGCCGTGCTTGTCTCCGAATGATTTGCTTCTACAAGGAACTCTGGGCCCAGCCTCACGGTTAATCCCTCTCGCCATTGATCTAACATCGTCTCAGCTACCGCAAGGCACTTCTCGCTAGGCCGCCTGGACGGATCTTGCCAGTCAGTGGCTGCTTCCACCAAAAGGTTTTCCAGAGTCCGGAACGTGAAATAAACGTCTGACTCAACATCACCCTGGCGACTGTTTTCCAGTACCCGATGAAACCATCTTCTATCCCCGGCTTCACTGATTAACACGCCAAACAATAGCGTCATCGTGCTCGTTGCATGAGCATTACGTTTGAAAGAAATTCGGACCAGAGCTCCATGGGCTTCGGTAGCGTGAAAGCTTTCTGAGGACGACTGAGAGGCTTCAAATGGAGGTCCCGCAATGTTAAACTTTCTCATCCTAATAAATCCGGCTCTTGACCTCCTATGTCTCGGAATAGCATCAATACTCTCAACTGAGAAACCCTCAGATGAAGGGCTTGAGTCCGGGGAAACTGGAATGAGAAGAAGGATCGCATACTCGCCAAGACTATTCTTCGTGTCAGGATACGTAAGACGAGATTCTTGCTCACTGCTGTCAAATCCCCTCGAAGGGACAAAGATGTCGAGATGAGTCGCTTTTACACCATCCGTCTTAAGCGACAAACGGTTCTTCCAGCACAGCGCAATAGGCCGTGGACAGTCTCGCACAACCTTGTAAGTGTCCAACGTCGGTGTCTTTTCCAAAGGAATCCCGACGAGATGCCCATCCGTTGTACCTGCAGAGAGCACGGCGATGTACTCAAACGGGCGAAGCCAAACGTCCGAGCGGGGCACCTCAGCAAGTCGGATGATTGGAAGCTGGATGGAGAGGCCAAAATTGGTCATCGAGTACGGCACCGGCCGACTGGATTCGTCCCTTGCAGGATGGTACTCCCGCGCGTTTCTAAAGTTACGGGGTGACGGCGCCAGCATGCTTGTCCACGATGGCGGATCATCCTGGTTCCAAGACCAGCAGAAGAGCGACTCATCCGTGGAGATTCTGAGTATCTCTTCCTGCAGCCGTGTGAAGGCACTCGAGCCCTCTCCGTACAGCAGCGGCATGTTGATGTCGAAGATCCCGAGCATGCAGTACGCCATGTCTTCCGCGCGGGAAGTCTTGCGACATGATAGCCACGACATCCTCTCCGCAACGCTGGCGCCGGAGATTGGCGCTATGCGCTTCCGCTTGTAAACCAAGTATGCAGTGCTGATACCGGTGACTTTGGAGATGGTTTCCACTAACGACTTCCGCGTGCCGACTTGTCTCCACTCCCGGGAGAAGAACAAGACTTGGCGGGGGGCTAGAAGCTCCTGCAGCGTCCAGCCGCGCGTGAACCACTGACTTTTAGATATTCTAGCTAACAGGGCATCTCTGGAAGCGGCCTCGTCGCAGTCCTCGGCCTCGGAGACATCAGACAGGTATGCGTAACAGATCTCGGCGTCCCTGTACCACGCGAACATAGAGTTGATGGCCTCTGCCAGCTCAGCCGAGCTATCCTTGTTGATGCAGTTGGTATCGATCCAAAGGTACCCTATGTCTTGGCTGATTGCATGTCTCCGGGCCAGCTCAATCTTTTGGAACCCTGCCTTCTCACGGGCGACAGCCATGTTCTTCCAGTCCTGGAAGGAGACCTCGTCTGGGCCCCAAGTATGGGAGAGGATCGCATAGCGGGGTACATTGTCGCCGATGAACTTTTCCAGCGCTAGGGTGTTCACGTTAATGAGGCGCATGGCGTGAAGACCTTGGGAAACAAGTGCGGTCGACAGATGCCTTGGTTTCGATTGGCCAATGATTTGCAACACTGTTTCAAGCGGTGTGGAAGACTTACCCACACATGTCAGCCCCCGCTGAACGTTGTTGTCGCGATAAAGAACCAGCCTGTGGCGACAACTGGTACCGGCTGGCCAAAAGCGGGTAGAAGAGGTTGAGCCGTAAATGGACGTCAATATTCACAGTTGGTGGTAATAGTGCTGATGAAGTATTCGATCGCCGGTGTGACCTTGTTTCCAACCGGATACTGGTGGACTGCAGGGTGTGAGTGTTCTTGTCTTATGAGTTGGGAGAAATGGCCTACCTGGTACTTCATTTGCCTTATTCGGGAGAGGATCGGACGTCGCACCACGCTCTCTATTGACGTGTCTTCATAGACCTTGACTTAGATGTGGAACTGTTGAACGCTCGGCGACACCTTAGAACCATTGATTGTTAGACATTCCATATTGCCAGGCTCCCTGTGGGCGCTGCAAGAAAAACTACCTCACCCGCAGTTTCTCAGATTACTGTTGGATATCAACAACGACAATTCTGCCTGACTGATCCTTTCGACCCAGAACTCAAGTCGACGGCAACCACAATGTCCAGCGACAAGGATAACGGCGAGGTTGCTGTGCAGGAACAGCATCAGCACCTGTCCAAGTGGCGCGTCAGCTCGTGGGTCCATGCTCAGAAACTTCGTGCCAAAGCTGACCAGGATCGACGGCAGACCATTTTTCCAGGCCGTTCTGGTTGGATTTGTTCTTTTCCTTAACCCCGGAACCTATCTCGCTATCACAGGTCTCGGCGCCGGCGGAAAACAGCCCGAGCTGATTGGGATCGTCAAGGATGCTGATGTCGTTCTTTACACCCTTTTTGGTGCATCTGCAGTTGTTGGTGGCGGCGTAATCAACAAGATCGGACCTCGATATTCCGTTATGATAGGGGTTACTGGCTATCCAGTGTACTGCGGTTCTCTCTGGTTGGTGTGACAGATCTCGAACCTGTCTGCAATTCCGACTGACATATGGTCAGGTGGATAGACAAAGGCGAGGGAAAATGGTTCGTGTTGTTCGGTGGTGCGTGGCTAGGTCTTTCAGCTGGCATTTTATGGGCCGTGCAAGGTAAGAATCCGACGGCCTTGGGCTCGTTTAATCTTAGGTGTGCTAGGACACGAACTGCATGCACATCGGTGGCACAATGTCAATTCGGTACGCATAGCTGACTACAGTCAGGATATATCTGCACGTGCTACCCGATCGAGTCTTAAAAGGGCTTCTACATCGCGACGACGTGGATTTTGAATGCCCTGGGTTCTGTCGTTGGATCAGGTAGCGGATTCCCTTCTCCGTAATGGCGCACGCCAACGGGTTATTGTAGCCGTTGTCCTTGGAATTAACATCAGCAACACTTCCTCATCGGGGGTACCGCCAGCGGTATATCTCACCTTCATCTGTCTCGAGTGCGCCGGGATCTTCGTGGCAGCTCTTCTGATGGATCCAAGCAAGATCAGACGCAACGACGGGCGACCAATAGCTTCTTTTGATGCAGAACTCTGGTCCCGAGAACTGAAGAGCTTGTTTCTAACCTTGAAAGAACCGAGAATGACCCTCATCACGTTAGCGATCTACAGCTGCGAGATGTACCTGTCGCTATTGGGGTCATTCAACTCCTTCTACTCTAATTCGAGAACAAGATCGTTAGCAAACGTGAGATCATGCACTAACTCACCCCTGCCGCAAGAGAAAACGCTGACAAGTGAAAACAGTTTTGCTATTGGACCATCCAGGTCATCGGCTCAGCCGCCATCGCATGGACATGCGACGCAAACATCTTTGGCCGCCGTCGCCGTCGCGCCTTCATCTCCGCCGCCTTCGTTGCCGCTATCATGGGCGGCACCTGGATCGCTCTTCTGGCCTTTCTTGTCTCCAACGACTTTGACCGTGCCAGCCCTGTCATCGGCATCGACTGGACGGATGGCCGACGTTTCGCTGGCCCCTTTGCACTCTACATGTTCCTCGGCGCTTCATACCCGATGTTCCAAAACTTCTCGATATGGGTGTATACCACCTTCCCAAACGAGCCGCGGACGCTCGGCCGGTACAGCGGGTACTTTAAGGGTGTTCAAGCGTTCGGCACGGCCACTGCTTTTGGGATCGATTCAAGATATGTCCCGTTTCTCCATCAAGCCATCGTGTACGCGACTTTGATGCTTGGGGGCCTAGGGCTGGCGTCAGTTAGTGTGTATCGATATACGAGTGATACGAGGTATGGCCAGGAGGAAGTGGTCGTTGTTCCGGAGGAGTTTGATGGAGGTTCCTAAGCTGGGCTGTTCCATCACCTAGAGGTAACTAGAAGCCTGTTCGACTCTCAATCTCGTTACTGGCAATATCAAGACCTCTTAAACAAACGAGCGGGGTATCTTTTCCGTACGCATACCATCTCTGCCGAGGCATCTTCCACATCCAGTAGCCAAATATCCCATGATATCCCACCTCAAAATTACCAGCTCGTCTGCGCATGTTGCTCACGCAGTGCGTGCTGCTCACGCGCCGCCCTCCTCTTAGCCTTCTTCTGATTCTCAAAGAAGCAGCACAAACCGCACCCCGCAACGACACAGAAAAAAACAATCGGAGGCACCGTTATCAGAATCATCATCTGCCGCTGAAGGGCGTGCCCTCCTTGACTCGGATCGCGACAAGTGTCATCTTGACATAAATCACCCGTCGGCTCAGGGCCACCGGGAACCCAGTGGCTCACATACCCTCCCACCGGGAGGTCGGGCGGTGTCGGCGTCAGCGTCGCCCTGTCCGTCTCGTCCCAGCTATCAACCACGCGGCTGGATCATCAGGCCCGCGGTGAAGGGCTCCTCCTCGCCCACGCACGCGTACGGCGGTGTATGTGACGTGGTCTTGGGCGTGGAGTGTGCCGACGCAGATGGGATGGGTGGTGGAGTTGGGGCGGCTGCCGTCGGGCCAGACGTCTTCGCCGCTGGGGCCTGATGTTAGATGAAGAAGGGACCGCGAAGGACGGTTGAGGGGGCCTTACGGTGCGCAACAGTAGGCTTTCGTGATGCTCGAGAAAGCGGTCATTGCGTGGGCGTGCCATCCTTCTGGGCACATGGCAGGGCGCCAAATGTAGTTCGAAGGACTGCATGAGCTGTACGATGCTTGGGTGTAGTCTCGATAGATTGCCTCGACGTCGTCTCCATCGGTGTCTCCAGCGGCATGGAATCTGGTCCACTGACGACGCGTTTGGCATTGGGGCGGGACCACGAAGGGGGTTGTGAGAATAAGAGGTGTCGCGGTTGTAGTCGGTGTGTCCATCCTCGGGGAGCAGAGTGGATTGGGATGCTAAAGAGACAGACGTTGATCGCGTCCACAAGCGTCAAGAGATGCTGCCAACTGAAAAGTGGTCGTTAATTAGTCGGAGTTCAGGCTTGAAGTGCGAAGTTGGGTTGTTCCCTCTTGCAAGCGCGTGTTGAAAACTAGTACTTGGCAAAAGCTTGAAAAGGGGTAGAGTAACGTCGACCACTGGCATGTTGTTGGAAGTTGACATGGCATGGACATGGCCCAACGGATAATATCACCGCGAATGGAAAGTGCTAATATGCTAGGCCTGACTTGGCGTGCATGAGGTCGCTTGCCTTTGGCGGAAGTGAATGCGGCACGGCAGGGAGTCTGAGCAAACGAGCATTTTAGCCCGGCAGCCAGCATTGATCTGCCATCCATGGATGCCTAGGACCTCGCTTAAGTCAGAAAAGAGCATAACTTGTCATTACTCAGGCGGTGTCAACTGAGATATTCGAAGTGCATGTTGGCAGCGCCTGGAGTCAAGAGAAGGTCAGGTATATGCTGGGCAAAGACTTGTGTGAACGTGGTATTCAAGGTCAACGGCCGAAAGCTAGTTTTTCCACAACAGCAAATGCTTAATCAAAATCATCCCCGTACATGAGGTCGTCGTCAAAGTCATCTTCATCATCTTCATCGTCGTAATCGGAATTGCCACCTGCCGGAGGCCAAGCCGTATGGAATGCAGATTGCATGGCAGCATAGACACCCGAGATCTGATCCATTTCACGAGCCAGAACCCCGCATATGTAGCACGCCTTCGCGGATCCTGGGCCTTTGCAGCCTTTGATAGGGCACTGGCGGTCGACGTCGGTGTACCGCGTCAGCATGAGAGATGAATCGTCGTTGGGCTGCCATGGCTCACGGTCCGCACCCCTAACACCGAAATTCCAGACCATGTAACCCATGGGACTCATCCCGACTACAAATTCGTCGTCGATGGCGATTTCTTCGATTCCCAGACCGTCATAGAATACCTTCTCGTGCAGCGGGCCCAGGACCAATGTCGAAAACTCGTCGGCCACACATACCGCGCTGTAGCCCCAGACCTTCCCGGCCCATTCGGTGAACTGGTAGATCCTGGGTCCGTCCTCATGCGGCCGCCATTTCTGCAGGTAATATGTCTGCCCGTTCCACCTGCGTCCGCCGCTCGTCTCCGGGCTGCCATCGGGACTGCCCCACACGGGCCGTCGCATGCCGAGCTCGTACTCCTCGACGATTTCCGAAAATGTCTCCGTGAGCGTGTCGAAGTTGTACCGGAAGACAGGAAGGTCGGGAGTGGCCAATTCATTGGGGATAGCCTGGACTAAGCCGTAGAGCCCATGTGAGGTGATTGGCTCGCCGTACCGAACGTATACAAAGGCAGAATCGGGGCTTGACACGCATACTGGTAGATGGAACGAATGCCGGAACGACTTGGTGTACTTCAAATCCACAAACTTATAGACGGTAATGGCGAGTTCAAGCTCACTGTCCACGAAACCTTCTAGAAACGCTATCGTGCCATCGATCGTTAGCAGCGAGATTGGGTCGGCAGGATACGCCAAGAAGAGCGCAGCAAGACGGTCGGGAGTGGGAACTTACGATCTTCCTCTCCATGTGCAAAGTAGTAGATCACATTGCTTTCGGTCGGGTGAAAAACGAAACCTTCTGGGCGGTCAAGTTCCAAGTCTTCATAATCCTCAGCATCTCTCGTAAAAGGAGGGAGTTGCAGCTTCGCGAGCCCGGTGCCCCAGCGGAACACGTGCGGAACGGCGTAGATTGGGTTGATGATGGAGAACTCAAGCACTGCAGCTTCTGCATGGGCAGTGATTCTCTTGACGCGGTTTGGGAGGGTGACGCGTCGGAACTCCTTTTTATCCATATGGTAGACGATCCTTTTTTCCCGATTAGCTTCTGAATAGGTCACGGGGGGTGGATGCCGCAACTTACATGGTGCGGTCGGTGGCTCGGTCTACGAAGATAATAATGTTCTCAGTCATGGTCCAGATTACAAAATCTCTTTCACCCTTTTCCACCAGATCCGGTAGTGCGACGAGCGATCTGGTTGTGTTGCGTAGATCGTCGATGAAGATGGCATAGGGGTCAACATGCCAGGCCAGACGCCCACTGGAGTATGCGAAGTGCCTCTCGGTGTGCTCCGAAGGACGAGCGCCTCTTCCAATCGCACCTTCAACGTACGCGACGGTCTTTTCGTCCATCTCGAATGTCTTGGTCTGCAGAATGTCGTAGAGCATCTCGCTCACGGCGACCGTGGAGATGAACTTTCCATCGATGCGGGGTATTGTCTTGCCTGCGGCGGTGACGAAGGTTTCCCACGGTGAATCGCTGGCATGCGGGTGCGACGACGGCAGAGAAACCAGCGCGAACAGTTCCGGGAAGTGAGTAGTCACCAGGTGCTTGGCAACAGAGGGCTCGGTCCAGACGGTGCGCCATCCCTTGGAGACGGCGGCGCAGGCCAGGGCATCCTTCGTGGTGAGATACTCAGCAACCATGGAGACGAGCTCGCTGGGGAGATCAGACATGGAGCTCATCTGAGGTGTTCTTGCGTTGACCATGGTCCGGAGAGCGACGAGCTCCCATGGCGATAAGTTGTCGACGAGGTGCTCGAGGTTGGCGCGGCGGTACAAGATTTCGGAAGCCTGGTCGTCGGCTTTGAGGTGTGAGAACTGCTCAGAGAGCAAGTTCACGGGATCGTTCTTGGTCATCTTGCGCGGACAGGTCTTTGCTTTGCTTAGGATGTCATCGAATTGATGGAGATCTAGAGAGGGAGGGGCACCCGCATTTTGGTGGAGAGAAGGATGTCGTCCGTCGCGGCGTTGCATTCCGAGCTGAGAAAGTGGGTCGTTGGAGTGGGATGACCTCACCGGGACTCACCTTGGTCCTGACCTGATGGCGTCGGGTGAAGCTTCGGTGAAGGGGTCTTGGGAAGCTCGGACACAAAGTGTAGACCCGCAATGTGATTATTTGCTGGCGGTGCACCTGTCGCCAGGTGCTCGCAGCCACGGTTCTTCCCACATCGTAGACATCAACATGCGTCACTCGTCACAACCTCACTCTTACAGTCTCTGTATTTGAAGACAGTCGTTTTTATATGATGCGTATCAAATGCTTGCTGTCACTATATTCTTCACAAGGGAAGGATTCCTCGTCCTCCTGGGCCGCGAGAAATCGAGGATCCATCTCGTCGACGTCTTTCCATGAGTACTTCGACACTTACATGGTTCCAATGCGACGATACACCCCTTTTTGGGAGTCATGCACCTCTAATAGTAGCATCCAAAGCGTCCAAGGTGAGGTACTCTTGAACGTAGGAAGATGATATCGTGTCGTAGCAGTGTCCTGGCTGTCGAATGCGGTCGTTGTGGGTGAGTCCAGATGAACTTTGATCGGGGACATGGTTTCGATGAGCTCGCCGCCGATATATATCTTCCACTTATATACCTTCATCCAGTTGTCTTCCGAAAAGGGCCCCTCCCGCAGCAATTCGACTCGTCTGAGCTGCCCCCAAAGTCGCAAATAGCCGCTCTTGAGCAGGCCCGTCGTGTCGCTCGTGACATAGTCGAGGTGGAAATCATGCACTTTGCACAATGCCTCCGTCGAATCCAAGTCTATGTACCGATGACGAACGACACGCGAAGTACCTTTTCCGGGACCTGCCCAAGACCACGAAGGCGCTATGTAGCTAGAACGGGCACCGTCTTCTTCCCTCTTCGCGGACGATGTGAACGTCTCTGGCGCCTTGCTCTCTCTCACTGTTCTCCACATCAAGTCTTGCTCCAGTGTGCTCCGCCACAGACCTGCAACATACTCGTCGCCGGTGAATGCCCTGATTCGTTTCGCAATGGCAGACATGGCCAGGAGCTTGTCTTGAGGGAATGTCAGGGCGCACGTTGAGTACTTGTCGACAAAATTCCACCAGCTCAAGCGGTACCCGGCGTTGTGGGGCTCCATTAGATGGAAAGTTACCACGTTGCTGTAGGCTTCGTGATTGTCGAAACTCTCAAACCCCTCTGTGGTTTGTCTGCTGCAGCATTCCCATGCAACCTGCCATTGCCCAAAGTACAGCACCCGAGAGGACAGAGTTCGTTCTTGGAAGACCCAGCCTCTGCTGTTGATTGCCGAATCATTTAGGTGTTGCATGAATCCTTGAAATGCAGAGACTTTGTATTCCCCTACAGAACCGTCATAAGTTCCCTGGACGATTTGTGGGGTGAAGGCTTTGGTGTTGCGAGTAGTGAAGAGTGAATTGTTTGCGTCGGGAGCGTCGACGGCGGCGATGTTGCAGTACGAGTTGGAATAGACCTGGTCCATGAGCGTCGACTCGACCAGCCAATCCGCTTTGTCGTCTCCTCTTTGGATGATGCACAGGGAGTCAATCCACAAGTATCTGACCCCTAGTCGTCTGGTGGTGGATATGGCATCTCGGTAGAGCTGGGGAAGCTGCTCTGCGGGTATTTCTCGTCGGAATGCGTCGATATTGTCGGTAGTGAGAACAAGACAATCTGCAGAGCCCCAGCAATGGCTGAGGGTCATGAATGGCCCTTGAACGGTTTGTTCAGTGGATATAACCAAGCGCACACGTGCTGCTGAGTCGTCGGGATGCCCACAGTCTAGGAGCCGAGTTGGGAAGCGCGCTGCATCTTGTTGTAATGGGTGGTTGCATCTCTTGTGCTCCTTAAAGCATCGATCTATCCATTGTTTCGCGATTGAGAGGGTGCTTTCAGAATCTGTACGGCGGGAGAGCTCTTTGGACTGGAATTCTGCTGGTAGAGTTGTCAGATAAGGTACCTAGGCGGGATGCAAGATTTAGACGCCGCCGTCGGGAAGACATCCTACGGTTCTTTTTGGATAAAAAGAAAACAGCCTCGTCCTCCCAAGAACTATTTCTTCCCTTGAAATTCGGACACACACCAATACGTTCAGCCAAGAAACCGCCATAAGGCCAGTCGCCATGGAACAAAAGGCTTGTTGTATCAAACTGACAATCCCACTCGATATCAGCATCGTCGGATGGTTTCCTCAGCTTGGCCGAGTGCAAAGCCCAAAACGTGGTGCAAATGTGGCATCCGGCTTCCATGGATCTTCTCAGGCTCTCTAAGCTTGGGTGGTGGGGTGCTTCCTTCCCCATGTTGTCGTTGGCAAAGTCCATGGACGAGATGGAGCTTTGACACACGGCGCAGACCATTGTGTTGGCGTCCATGGTTCCTGATGCGCTCCTCATGAATCCCGTTCAGTCGTTTGTGGTGTGAGGAATCATGGACGAAGAATTGGAAGGATAGTAGTCAGGCAGATGACAACAGCCTCGTCGGTCTGCCCACTGCCCTCGCTTGGGCACCAATTGTGTTGCTTGTCCATATTGAATCCATGCCAGTCATCCTGTTGCAGGATTATTCCCCTGCTGTAGTATTGTCACGTCTGCTTCACATCCAGGCATCCACGAAGACAGTCCGATCTCGCTGCCTTAGGTAAGCCATTCAGGTAGATAGGCTGCCTTATGTAAGCATCCAATTGCCGCCGGTTCCTGCACCCCGCGATCGGATTTCGGACAGGTGCCCGTCTTGCAGGCGCTACAGAAGCCAGTCAGCCGGGTGCGCCCCCCTAAAGGCGTCCACTGGGCAGCAACGGCCCTGCCCGTGCTGTGAGGCGAACGGCGAACGCGCTGCAGACTCGTGTCAGCGTCCGAAGCGGCTCCCAGGCGGTCCCTGGACGGATTGCGGTAGAAGGGCAGATAGGCACCGAGTAGTGCAGGGAAGGGCCCACTTGGGGGTCGAGCACGACATCATTCGCGGCGGTGGTATGCGACAGGAGTGGCCGAGTGACCTGCTGACGTGCGAAATCGTGACTCCGACTCACCACCAACAAGCAGCAAAACACCCAAGTCGCCTCCTCCTCCAGGTGCCGCTGCGTTGCCGTGCCTGGCTGCTTGCTACCCTCCATCTCGATTTCGATTGCCCGTCGGTCGGCCTTTCCCCAGTCAGCGCCCTTCCCGAGGCATCTCCTTCTCGGCTTCCCGTCTCCACGTCATGTTCCTGACTCCTCTCTGCCCTCTTCACTGATCTGTTCCATCTTCTCTCCTTCCTCGTCTTTTTACAATCCATTCCGCTGCGTGGTCTGGTCCGGTTCTCCTGTCCTGTATTTTCGGAGGAGGAGGAAGAGCGGCTGTTTTGCTTCTTCCATTCAACCAAACCTCCTCAATCTGTCACCCTCCCGACCGCCGACGCCGGCGCCTATCCAATCGCACTCTCTCACCGTCGCCGACATCCCAAGTCCGGAAGCTTGATCCATCATCATGGCGCGCGCCTCGAGCCCGCCGACTCCGTCCGATGACCGGACTCTCGTCGCAGCGCCTCCCGACGACGACGATGCCTCCTCTACCATCAGCCGCCTGAGCTCCCGCTCGTCCCTTGACCTCCTCCACCGAAGCTCCTCCCACCGCCGCCGAAGCCGCCGCTCCGCAACCACCTGGCGAGCTATCTCCTTCGTCGCCGCCCTCGTCTCCGCCCTCTGCGCCGGCTCCATCACCGTCTTCTCCATGTACGGCCACATCTTCCAAGAGCGCCTGCACTACACCCAATTTCAGGTCAACGGCCTGGCCATCAGCAGCTCCATCGCCCTCTACCTGCCCGTCTCCATCCTCGGATACATCTGCGACCGCGTCGGTACTCCGCCGCTGTCGTTGTTGGCCGCGATACTGTTTGGTGGAGGATACGCTATTGCTGCGGGGACATACCGCCAGCTGGAGGATGAGAACTTCGGCGGCCTGCGCGACATGGCCGGAAGGCGCATCTCGGGCGGCCCCGATTGGACGTATCCCCTGATGATCTTTGCGTTCGTCTGTGTCGGTGTCGGTACGTGCTCCATGTACCTCGCCGCCGTCGCAACCTGCGCGAAGAACTTTGGCAAGGGCAAGCATCGCGGACTGGCTCTGGCGGTGCCCATCGCTGCGTTTGGACTGAGTGGCATGTGGCTCAGCCAGCTCGGCAGCCGTGTCTTCTACGAGAAGCTGCCGGACGGATCGGCTGGGGACCTGGACGTCTTCCACTTTTTCGTCTTCCTCTCCATCCTCTTGCTGGTGGTCGGAATTGTCGGGGCCTTTACTCTGAAGGTTGTCGACGAGGAGGAGATCATCGAAGAAGCTGTCGAGGAGCTCGAGCGGAGCGGTCTCTTGGAGCGCAGCACGTCGTTCCTGAGTGCTCGTAGCGGCGGCAGGGGATATGGCGCTATTTCTCAGATTGCCGATGAAGAGGATGGCGGAGCTCTTGGGCCGGCCGAGGACGATGCGAAGCTGAAGAAGAAGCTCGTCCTCAATGCCGAGACGAGAAGCTTCCTCACGGACCGCACCATGTGGTACTTTGCCCTGGGCTTCCTGCTGATGATTGGGCCCGGCGAGGCCTTTATCAACAACCTCGGCACCGTCATTGGCACGTTGTACCCCCCTACACGGCAGTACGTTGGCCCCCCGACGTCAGCGGCCACGCATGTGTCCATCGTCGGTATCACTAGCACCGTCGCACGACTGGCGACGGGCACCTTGACCGATCTTCTCGCCCCGTCTCCCCAGACACAGCATCTGCAGGTGTCCTCGAGCCCACCGTACATTCGCGGCAGACTGGCCATTTCCCGCGTTGCGTTCCTCCTCTTCTTCGCCATCATCCTATCGCTCGGTCTTGTGGCCCTGGCTTCCGGCTTCATCCAGGAGCACGGCGAACGCTTCTGGATTGTCTCCGGCCTTGTCGGCTCTGGTTACGGAGCCGTCTTCAGCCTGACGCCCATCATCATCACGGTCATTTGGGGTGTTGAGAACTTTGCCACCAACTGGGGCATCGTCGCCATGTTCCCGGCCCTGGGTTCGACAATTTGGAGTTTGGTCTACTCGGCCATATACCAGTCCGGCGCTACAAAGTCGCCTTCACCCGGAGAGGGCGGAGACGTCTTTTGCTACGGCATGCAGTGCTATGCCTCGACGTTCTGGGCCATGGCCGTCACCGTCTGGGTGGCCTGCGGCATGGTCCTCTACGCCTGGAAGGGCAAGAATGGATGGGTCCAACGGGGCATTGTTATCTAAACCTACGTTATCTACATATATACAGCAGACAGATCAAGCATGCACATCGGCGTTCAGGAAACGGGAGGAACGGTCTTGGGTAGGGCGCATCATATCTATCGCCATGATTTCATTGGGTATATATCGCATAAAGTCATAATATTTAGGGCCAGTCCTGTTTTGCCTCTTGTGATCGCTACCATTCTGTTTCATCCGCACACCGTGCACTCTCCCTCATAGCATCAACAGCGCAATGAGGGTGGCGGCTCCCATCACCAGCCCCGCCATGAGGGGCGTGCTCCGCGCTGCCGTGCTCTCCCTTTCAAACTCGCTCATCGTCTTCATGCAGATCCACTGCGAATACAGCAGCTTGTCGAACAGCACGCTCATCACCGGCGTGTACCCGTTCAACCCGCCCGTCGGCGTCGTCGTCCCGCCGTCCTCGTCGAGGATCAGCTCCACGTCCGTCAGCTTCATCAAGTCGTACGCCGCCGGCAGCGTCGGGTGGCAGCCGTTATTCGCGCCAGCGTCCTGCGCCGGCGTGTCCGGGGCGTCGGGCCCGATGATCTCGGCGCCCGTGATGTTCACCGCCCCCGCGATCAGGTTGCAGTGGAAGCTCTTGTCCGTCCGCGTGCGCTCCTCGAGGTACATGGCGACCTCCTGGCAGCGCGGCAGGTCCTCGTCCTCGGCGTGCTCCGCGCGGAAGTCGTCCACGTAGCCCGTGATCTCGTCCATGCAGCTCTGCTGCAGCCACGAGGAGCAGTCGGTCGTCTCGTCGTCCTTGACCTCGTGCGCGATCGGCAGCGTCTGGAAGAGGTGCTGGAAGATGAGCGCGCAGCCCTTGGGGTACTTTGGCGACGAGAGGTTCAGGCCGGCGGGCGCGCCGAGGTAGTACGACTGCGTGTAGACCTGCTTCTTCATCCAGTTGGAGGAGGAGGACGTGGCGGGGCCGTTGTGTAGTGTGGCTACCGTCACTGACAGCTTGCGGATGTCGGTGATGTTGTTGTCGTCGATGGGGATGTCGAGGACCTCCGGGGCGATGCCGACGCGGCGCAGGACGGAGCCGCCGAGGGTGCAGTTGGACTCGCCGACGAGGTCGTGCACGGCGCCGGCCGGGCAGCCAACGTCGGCGCAGCCCTTGAGGGGGACCTCTGTGAGGATGGGGACCGTTGCGAGGGCGGGCCGGACGCCGCCCCCGGGACCGATCCCCGCGGCGAGGAGGGACCCCATGAGGGGGAGCGGTCTCATTGTTGGTTCTCCCCCGGTCCCTTTTTTGTGATGTTTGGTTGTTGTGCCTTGTTGTTCCTTGAAGTTGCGTAAGGCCAAGCACTTCTGTCGTGCCGCGTTCGCGAGGCGAAAGCCAAGACAAAGACGGCCCTTCGCTTCCGGGAAGCCGTGGAAACCGATGACACACTGGTTACTGGTTTCTTCAGTGCGGCCGATTGGGCGAGGCGGTAGCAGGCGCCTTTCGCGTCTCACGGCGCGGCCGTGTATGAGTGAGTGCGTTGGTTAGGTAGGTATGAGTGCGTAAGAGGTGGTAATGTCTTGGGTGCGTCTGGGGTGGCCCGGAAAAGACGGCAGCACGGCGCAGGAGGAAAAGGCTCGTCGCGCAGATGTGAGCGGCCAGCGGCGCGGCGGCGGTGGGGATCTTTGGGGGGTGAAAGACAGCTCTCACTCGAGGCTTTGCGGGACAGCGGATCCGACCATGCTACTCTCTGTGCCTATGACGTTTTCGTTTCGTTTCTTTCCAGGGGGGAGCTCGATGTTGAGGTTTCGTTGCTGGCCGATTCCAGCTTCATCAGGAAGAGTGTGAAGAAGAGAGTCGTGTGTGCGGGGGTGGACTGGCCTCTTGGTTTTTTTTTTTTTTCTCCCTCACTCACTCCAGCGGCTGCGGATTACATCAACACATAATTACGGCGGTAGGCACTCGGGCGAGCGAAAAGGATACCTCCGTGGGAGTCGAGGATGGGGTCGCGTGGTGCGAGATGATAGGCGACTGGGCGTGGGTTTTCTTGGCGTGTCTTGGCATTGCTCACCGATCCTTTGCTTGGGAGGGACTCTGGTGATTAGCTAATGCTGCTGTTGGTTGTGTGTCCAGTTCCATGAATGTGACCGTGGCTTTTGGGTTTGATTGGGGACATTGCGGTTGATGCGAAAGTGAGAGTGAGGAAAGTTGAGATTGGATGACATATGCATCGAGCAATGATAAGGTTTGTTGGTGAACGGTGTTGTTTTAAGCATGAACTGCATCTCGAGTTTGGGTTTCGTCAAAGAGGCGCAGGGCGGGAGGTATTTTGGTACACGATTAGGAGAGCTTTAAGGTATGACTAAGGTCGTTAATTGTTAGGTTCGTTCGATAGCAGTCCGGGACAGCTTCCGCGGTGGCTGTTTGGCAGGGGTGTCCCTTGTTCGGGGAGGATGGGAACATGCAAACAAGCTTCAATCTCTGTGCTTCCCCATGGTTGCTTCTCGACGGTTGCTCCCCATGGTTCGCGAAACATGAAGAGCATGGTTCGCGGACCAAACCCACCAGTTTGAGAAGAACCATCTAGTATGACTGTCCGGCAAAGAAGACCAAGATGGGGCTGGCACTGGTAGCAGAGCTTCTGAGTCGGTGACCACCGTCTGAGTCGGGGCGGCGAAGCCAGCTCAGTACGGGGGCTGTGCATAGCTCACGAAGCCAATGGAATCCAGCAGACCCGCGCGCCCTGGATTGTACAAGCCACGAACTGTGCAGCAGCCATGTACGCACCGCGTAAACACGCAGACGCGAGTTATCACGCATCACTTTGCTGTAGACACCGACTGTTGTTGAGGTATGTTGTTGCAGGCAATTCGGCTGCCCTTTCAAGGCAATCGCACGAAACTTTGTCGAATCCAGCTTGGCTCCCTCCCTGCGCCCATGACGCCCATCCGCAGTGTGTCAGCTCGTTCACTAAGGCTATGTTCATAAAGCGTGGCGATGCCCCGCCGGCCAGCACATCCTGAGGAAAGCAATTTATCGACTTTGAATCAGTCAGTCTCTGTACAGCCCACGCCAAGAAAAACTCAATTCAATAATCCACTCCGGCATGAACATAGCTATCGCAAACCATGGATCGAATACCGAAGCGTCTTGGGGGCATCCTCCGCATGCCCACGGCAGCGGCGATGATGGGACGCCGCCGCTAAGGGACCAGCTGGAGGCGGCCATGTGCACGACCCTCCCCCTCGGCGCCGCTGACCCCGCGCGGCGCTTCCTGCCGAGCGACGAGCTCCACCGCCTGGTCACCCCCGCATCGGCGCTCCGGACGCTACGGGAGGGCGCGCCCGGCTTCACGGAAGAGATCCGGAGCATCTTCGCCAACGCTGTATTCACCGGTTCGACGCAGACGGTCAAGACTTTTGCCATCCTGGTCCTAATTGGTCGCGCCGATGCAATCTTCAAGTTCATGGACCTCTCCATCAGCGACGGCGATCTGCCATTGGGGCCGACTGCTGAGGGCAGCACCGTCATCGGGTCGTTGAGTGCTCCCAAGTGCTTCGACCTCGCGCTTGCGGGACTCGGGTGGGATGAGATCGTGGCGTTCGAGGAGATGCAGTGGAGGGTCTGCGTGCCGGTGATGGACGAGCTAGGCGCCGAGGGCGAGCCGCGCCTCTTCCATTCGAAGACCATCCTGCCGTTTGTCTGGGATGGGCCCGTGGCGCCGGTGATACAGCAAGGCGGCCATTCGAGGGTCTACCAAGTTCGCATTCACCCAGCACATCTTTATTGTGGTACATCGGAGGTATGGCAACTCTATCCCAGACAATCTTCTTCCTTGGCGCTGATACCAGATCTAGAGCCGCACTCATTTCGCGGTCAAACAATTTGAATCGTCGCTCGACACCGGCATTTTTGAACGCGAAATCTCTGCCCTCAGGCGGTTCAGCGACGCCCCAAACATCAGTCCCTTTCTCACAGCCTTCAAACACGGCTCGACGCCGTACCTCGTACTCCCTTGGGCTGATAATGACCTACAATCCCTCCTGACCCAGACCGACGCACCCAAAGATGAGGGACAGGCGGCCCTCACGGTAAAGCAGATGCTCGGCATCGCGGAGGCCCTCAAAGCAATCCACTACTGGCGTGTCAAGAGCCGCAACAAGGCAGCCGGCTGCTCTGCCGGCGCCAAGGGCCACGGTTACCACGGCGATCTCAAGCCGGAGAACATTCTCGTCATGGACGGCCGCTGGAAGCTCGCAGACTTTGGGCTCTCGTCCGTCCGTCAGCAGGCAGCGGCGACGACGGAGCAACGGCCGCTGGGTTTCTCGCCGACGTATCGCGCCCCGGAGCATGATGGCGGGCACTTCGACGGGCAGCAGGCGGACATGTGGTCGCTCGGGTGCGTGATGAGCGTCGCGGCGACGTGGATGGCTCTGGGGAGGAAGGGGGTGCGCAACTTTCGTGCGAAGCGCGCTCTGCGTGGCGATATTGCGACGCGAGAGAATGGCAAGGTCGACGACTCCTTCTTTGAAGCCCGGGACAAGAAGAAGGGCAGCGGGCTACGGGTGAAGCCTGCTGTGACGCATGTAAGAAACCGGCTTTCAGTCCCCATTCCAAAGAGATTTTCACGGTTCACTGACCTTCATGTCATAGTGGATCGACAAGCTTCACCAATCTCTCACCGCCAGCCCTCTCATCCACGATATCCTCGACCTGGTCAAGAATGGCATGCTAGAGGTGAATGGCGACAAGCGGATCACTAGTGCCCAGCTCGTGGATAGGCTGAGGGAGATCCATCGCAAGTGCTCTGATGAGCCGGAGTACGCCAAGCCTGACCCTCGTGCGGCGAACAAGGCCGTTGTTCCCGAGAAGATTGACCATGCGGAGGCCCCGCGATCCATCAGCGTAAACATGATGCGGCTTCCTTACAACCATGGCACATGGCCGCTGGATTCCCACCAGCTGGCCCCGCCCAGCTTCAATTCGGAACCGGACGGGAGGTCTTCGACATGGGCGGCGCCCGAGCAGTCATTTGGCGATTCAAATCTGGGACTCGGCAGCGACTTGGCCGTGGCGAATCCGGTATCCCATACCATCCCAATGGCCAGTCCCAAATCTCCGCGCGGTAAAAGAAGACGAGATGCGGAATTGAGATCGCCGGCGCAAAGCAAGCGCCAGAAGTCCGCGTCCCCCAGGTCTCCCATTGACAAACCCTCCGGAAAGCTCTTTGCGTGCCCATATTTCAAGCATGACCAGGAGAAATACGGCACCAAGGAGTGGAACTCATGCGGTGGCCGCGGATGGGAGATTCACAGATTAAAGTAAGACGAACAATCCACTCTCTCACGCTGGATCATCCTGTGGCTAATGGTGATATAACCAGGGAGCACCTGAAGCGTGTCCACCGGGTCAAAGGCCACAGGTGCAACTGCTGTCTCCAGAGATGGTCCTCCTTAAAAGGGCTGTCTGAACACCAGCGTTCCGACGTCCACTGCATCAAGCAGGAGGACATAGGAGATGACAGCATCGACGAGACGCAGTGGGGAAAGATCCAGGAGAGGAACCGGGGAATGGAGAGCGCCACCAAGTGGACGGAGATCTACAAGACCATCTTCCCGTTGGACGCCGTCCCATCTCCTTGTAAGTTCACCAGGGAGGGCGGCTATGAAGTCTGGCCATGTGACTGATCGTTTCCCTGTTCCCTAGATCGTGATGAGCCGACGAGTGACTTGACTCTTACCGACTTCCGGCACTTCCTGGAGAACACCATGCGGCAACAGATCAGTCATGCGGGGCAGGTCAGATGCCAGAACGGGCTGGACTTGCTCACTGAATTCGAATCGGCCAGATCTGTATCTAATTCAACAACTACATCCGAGGTCCCCTCACTCGTTGTTGACAACAGCCGTTGCGACACAGGTATGACCACGTCGAGCTTTGAGTCACCCGTGTTCACGGAGGCATCGCCGTCCATCATTGGCTTCGGTGCTGAGGATGTCGGGTTTGGCATGCCTTCTTGTGCTCCAGAAATGCAGCAACACTTGTCATTCGGGCATGACTTTCCCTTATTTCCACCATCGCCTCATGTCGATATGGGAGCGAGCTGGCAAGCGCCGTCTTTCCCTTCAATTCCGGGTTCGACGTTTGATGAGTCTAGGCTGTACCCTGATCTGTCTCTAGGTCCGTCATAAAGACGGGAGATAGGTTCTTGTAAGAATAGACTGTTTCGTAGCAGGCATTTCCGATATGGACGAAGGAAGTAACAGAGAAGAATATGATTCGAACGATCTTAACCTTCTTGGGCAAGGTGAGAGATAACAATAATCAACGTAATGCGGTGTCAAAGCAAAGACACCAGCAGCGCAACATGAACACAAAAAAAAAGCATTCTTATTCCAATCTCACATGTAATCTCAATGTAAAAGAATCCGCATTTGTAATGGCATCTCTCCCATGTCCATCTGTTCGCCAATATTAAATGATAGCCACGACTTGTTCCCAGAGGCCCGATCGACGTAAGTCGCTATTGTCAGGTGTTGTTTGAAACAGCATCGCAATCGAGACGCAGCGATATATAACCAGATCATCGATCGTCTTAGTCGACTGGTCTTCCCCTGCAACCTGGACGGGCCGCCATTTCCGGTACGTCTGATCAGGCCCCAGTTCAACCGGTTTGGCCAGCCTGTTCAAGAGTTGATGAGTGTTGAACAGCTCCCATTCTTTGTTGTACACGGTACACACAAGACGCTTCAGCTCTGAATCGAACGGCTTCCACTGTGAAGCCAAAGGTGCCAGCGTCTCACCAGGACCTTCTGAGGCGTTTCGTTTGGGTTCATCAGCGGCACTGATCGAAAGGCTTTTGCGATCACAGCTTCGTTGAACATTCCAGCTTCGACGAGCTTCATCCAGAGTTCCGTCAGTTAGGCCCAAAGATTTCAAAAAGTCATCGTAACGTGAATGGTGGTTCCAGATGTTACCCTTTCCGGTGTTGGACGTTGAATGACTCATGTCTTCTTTGTCAGATGCGATATTAGCCGCCAGCATCAATGTGATGGTCGTGTTACAAATGAGAATCGCGCGAGACTCGATGTGTGCTCTTGGTTGACCCAGAAACCAACGATCCCGTAGCTCTATTTGTAGAAGCGTGATGTATCTCAAGCAAGAGCGGGCTTCTGGTGGATAGTCAACAAACCACGTGCGGAAAGTACCAGCGTTGTGGAGCATCTTCAGACAGAGAAGCAGGACAACTTTGAAGACGATCGGGTTTGGTGTCTCGTTCTCGCCGCGCTTCAACTGCTCATCCACCTCATGCCGGACTTTCTCAACGTATTCGTCAAAGCTCTTTCGGTTGATGAGCCCGATTTCAGCCATGCCAGTCTTAAGCCACTGAACACCCTCCCAACTTGGAGGCTTCAGTGACAAAGGCCAGTCGGACATATCATCCCCTCTGATGTCTTCGCTTGTGACCTCAGTCCAGTAGTGTCCATTCAAAGCCAGGGTCGTGAGCGGTGGCTTTTTGCTCAACATATCCGTCGGAAACAACGCAGGGAGATGTCGCGGTGTGCTGGCCAAGAATAGCCCAACAATGGGCATGTACTGGTCTTGGGAAAGTTCTCCGTAGTCCAGGATGAACGACTCTTGGCTCCAGGCTTTCATCTGCTTCTTTGAAACAGACAGCATGAACCGCAATGTCTGGACTCGATGCTGTCCGTTCAACAAGTTCAGAACCGGAGAAGATGTATCATTCCCGCGCACAAGAGGTGCAGTGCGAAACAGCGATTGTCTGTCAACCTCTATGGTCCCACGAGCGTGAAGCATGGCCACACGGAGCTGAGATAGACTGCAAACCGTCCCAAACGCTTCTTTGCGGGCTTTCTGTTGAGTATCTTCTTTGCCTCTATTCGTCTTGTTGTACAGCCAATTGGCTCCAATATCGCCGCGTGTAGGGCGAGAATCGTGCTTGGACTTTCTCTTCTTACTGTACTGCCAGTATACTCCAAGGACTCCAAGAATAGGATGTTGACGGAAGTAAAATTGAAAGCCATGACCGAAGATGATGGGGTACTCCGACTGCGTATTGGTGGTCCAGAATGCCCCTCCTTGTGTTGTCGAGGCAGCTGTGACAACAACACCGATCTGTGCGTACGGAGGGGCAGCCAAAAGGTCACTCGGCAGATAGTCAGCAATGACCCGCCGCATGCCCTGGTCATCCCAATCTTCAATCTTGTCGAGACCGACGCTCTGAAAGAAATGAACCCAAGTCGCAGCAGGCATCTCCTCGAATGGGGAGGATTTGGCCTTCCATGGCATTGTTGCGCGGAATATGGTAAATAAAGCCGATCCTATGTCCCTCAGGTTGTGCTGCGGGTTCTTCTCGTCGTTTCCAAGTTTTCCCGCTCTGTTCATGGCAAGGTTTTCCAGGTCTCCGATCCCATTACCATTGCTGATAGTTCTATTAACATCAGAAGGTGGTTGGGACTACGCCGTCCATAAGGTCCGTGATCTTTTCGATATCCTTTCTGATCCAGCGCTCTAGGGTTTCCACGCGAAAGATGGGAGTCGATGCGGTGTATTCGAAGGTACACTCATGCCATTTCCGTCGTCTTTCTTCCTTTTGCGACCATTTCTTGCTAATAGCAAGGTGGTTTGTCATCCGGCTTCCCTGTCCAGGCGCGATTACAACCTGGAAGATCGGGATGAGGGCAAAAGCGAGGGCTACAACGCCAATGATGAGGGTTAAAACGAATGTGACAGGATCCCAGTCAAATTTCTCATCATCAGCTCTTTGGTCATTCTCTAGAAGCTGGATGATGTTTCGAAGGAGGCAGTCAGTCGAGTCACTGTCTTGGGAACACGTGGGGCTATTGGCGTCCATGGCAAAGTCCGAGAGAAGTTCTGAATTGAATGGTACTTCTGGTTCACTTTCTCAGCAAGAGACGCCAACGCTCTTAATGTTCCTCGGGAACTCTACTTGAAGGACCACCTCGGCTGAGACAACACCTTGCGTAGCTGCGTAGCTACCTGACACGAAAAAAAGCATCTTCTTTTATTTCTGTTCGATAGGCCTAGATACATGAATGCTGGACGCCCTTTGCCCTAAGACTCAGGGACGCACCGGCGTTAAATAGTACACACACACACACACACACACACACGGAAAAAAGCAATTTGGTCAGGGGTTGTTACTCACAAAATATTGGGTCGTTGACAGGGTTCGTGGACGGCTTGGCTCAGAGCTGAGATGCTTTTTGAGCAATTTGCATGAGGATCGGTCCCCTTTGGTTAAGTCGCAGTCCGCTATGCGATATGGAAGGACGACAGATGCCTGTTGGAGGAAGTTCCGAACGATCGGCATCCCACACCGATTCAGTAGCGCCGCAACGCCTGCATATGTGAGCGTGTCCCCCATTAGGTGCAAGTCGAACGCTTCCCTGTCGATCACATCTTGCAGGAAAAAGATAAGCACAAGCGTGCACTTGAGTTTCCGGTGCTGCTCGCCCTGTTTTTCTTCATAGACAAACGCCTCCAGTGCCCAACGCTCCGCCCTACGACACCGGTGAGACGGCGACGTAACAGCAATGCTTCGTCTCACAAATCATTGCTTTGGGCTTTCATTTGCGAGATAATGTTCCCTATTTGACGCCAAGATACTCAAAGCGACACAGAGTTGCTTGATTGTCGCAACCGGCGTACATCGCAGGGAGCCTGAGGAGTCCCTTGCCCTGCATAAGATCTTTGTAATGATCTCATACAGGGCGGGTGTTTCCGCCAACGTTGCCCATGCACAACCCCAGCCCACGACTGATGTGAAGATCCCGCGCGAGTGTCTTGGGGTCAGGAATTGGGCTCCAGGGAAAAGAAACAAGTTGGCTTGACTATTCCGTAGATAGGCTACACAGCGAACCTCTCTTGAAGTACGTACGGATACTGATGTGGATTCATCGTAATGTGGGAAGATGGTTCCAGCTTTAGTCGCACATGGCCTAAGGTCAGCAAGGGTAAGTCGTGTGACTGTGATTAGCCATGCATAATATGGCAGTCAATGGCCTGGAAGAGCAAACAATCTCAAATAACACAGTCAGGGTCCCAGGGATCATTGCAGCGATGAGAAAGACTGGGCGAAGAATTTGATTCGCCTTTCTATTGGCAGCGGCCTTTCTAAAACTCAAGATCGGGTTGATTACCAGTTGATTTTATTTGTGATGTCTTGGCCCTTCAGAAGATCATCTTAAGACTTTTATCTTGGACAGCAGCTAGCTTTGATCGATTTGATCGAATTCAAGTATATTCGCGGCTACTTCCAAACTTAAGCCGAGGGCTTCCTCCCGTAGATTGACCAGCTAAATCAAAGAGGTTAGGCACATTTCTTACAAAAAGTAGAATGGGATTTCTCTCACATGTTGAAGTAAGTATGGATGCGTCTGTCGGCAAAGTCGCGACGAGCATCCTTGCCGAGGGCGAGCACATCTTCCTTCGTCCAGCCCAGAGCTCGAGTCAAGGGGGCCATGATGAAGCCGTCCCAATGCGGGGCAATGAGGTTCCAGATACCAAGTTCCTTGTGCTTCTTGTCTTTGGGCCATCCGTTGGTCGGCCACTTGTACCTTTTGATGTGGACGTCTTCGAATCCGACCTTTGCCGAGGCGTCCTTGAAACGGCTAAACTCCTGGAAATGTCTTCCTAGGCCGGCGAGGCCCTTGTGCCATAGGCGGAAGCTTTTCATGAGGTTTGTGTCCTCTGTGAGGGTTCCGTCGTCGGAGAGAGGTACGGCATCGATGTCGTTGAGCTCCAGATAGCCCCCAGGGTTGAGGTTGCTGTAAATATTACGCACTTCAGAGTTCTGCTGTAGCTAATGAGAGCGCGAGACGAACTCACTCGTAACACTTCTGGAGATACTTGTCCCAATCACTAATGCTCCCAGTCATCATTCGGCTATGAATGTAGTCGAACCCGTCCGAGAAGGTCCAAGGCTCCTGGATGTCGTCAACTTCGAAAGTAACGTTCGGCGGCAAGCTGTGAGGCGTGAGTTAGGCGCAGTCTGACTTCTGTGCTCCGACAGGGAAGAAGCTGGGACGTACAAGCCTGCCTGGACAATAGAAAGATCCACGCCAATGACCTGGTCAGGAGTTTTAATAAAGTCCCAGTATGGTACGTGTTGGGAGTTTTGATGGGCTTCCTTCTGATTCGGGGTGCTCGTCACCAAAGTCTATGGCCCAGATACCAGAGCCGGTGCCGATGTCGAGAACCCTTCAAACCTCTGTGCCGGTGTTATTGGGCGGCGCGGTTCCGAGGCGATCATCGAAGGTCCGGATGAAAAGATTATGTTGCAGATCTAACAGTTTAAAACCCTTTGATACGAGTTGGAGTACAGGCTAAATGCTACTTACCCAGGCGATTATTCTCTCTCTCGTCGTTCGGCATAGAGTATTCTGACACTGATGAGTATTGCGCTCATTCTACAGCCCAGAAGACTTACTTCCGTCATTGTACGTATGATAAGTTCTTCCATTTCCCATTCTATATTTCAAGATGGAACTCGTCACACTCGTTGTCGATGAAGCCAGGCTCTCCTAACATGTCTGGTGAGCCCAGTCCCCGGATGACAACACCCGTGGAGGCGGTGAGGTCTTACCTGGGCAGATGTCGTCTCTAAGTACCTATGGGAAGGTCAATAGCAGCCCCAAGATGATCTTGAAATGATTCACGCATGAAAAACCTCGTCAGGCACAAGAGCATCGTTGTTGTCCTCTGCAGGCCGGATTAGTAGTGGTTCGGCTTGAGATGCTGAATAGAGGTTGCGCACTGATTGTCACGCCTGCCGTAGCAGCGGCCTCAGTGGTACTGCTAGCCATAGCAGGTGATGACTTTACCAATTACTTGAATGATACGTCGCCTTCAGGATTGAAGTCCCAACTGCATGTGAGATTATAGCGCAGCGAAGGTGAGATAAGCCAGCGATGAGGAAACAAGTGTTTCATGAAGTTCAAACAGGTGTCCCTATTTACCCCTCTTCTTAGCGAGATGAGCATGCAAGTTGCCTCGTAGGTATGTTGGCGGCGAAGATGCCATTTTCGGCCAAATCATGCATGGTTTGGTTGGGAATTGCATGGTGAACCAACCAGCCAATCGTAGCTTCCGTAGGTAAAGCCTAGTACCTACGATTCATGACTTTCAAGCTTCACTTCTTGTCACAAGTATTATATTTGACCATGAACATTCATTTGTTATTCTTTCTGTTAAGAGTAGAAAACATCCAATCCAAGCAGTCTACAAATCTGGCACCAAATATTTGGTGCGGTCATCCTCGGCCGTTACTCTTTCGTGACCAGACAATTACCTGCCACTTGAAGCAGAGGTTCTAAGCTAGGATAGTGTCCGGCTGGCTCCCATCCATCTCTACTTTCCTTCCGATTCTGCTCTCTCACTGCTGACTGCTGTCACGACGTCCATCTGTATCTGTGGACCCTCCGCTGGACTCTGCATCTCATAAGCAGGGACTTCAACTGATCGCAAACTAGGCGTGTCATGCATACTCGCGTAAGACCTTGTTCTTCCCCAGCCTCTTTGGCCACCGTGCTGCCACCACCACCAACGCTTATGGCTACTGCCAGGGGTGATCTCCCAAAGCGGAACTCTCCTACTAGCAGGGCCGCTGATTATGACGGTATTTCCGAACTCTCGTATTGGCGTTCTCATAAAAGCGAATCGGTCGAGGCCTGTGTCGTGGGCATCTTTGGGCGCACTGCATAGAATCGTAGTCGTCCACAAGATCGAGTTGAACAGCCCATTCAGAGCCAAAACGCACCCCGCAAAGGCGAAGTAGGGGACCCCAAGATCGATGCCCTGCAGGGACGTAATGCGTCCTACCACTAACGGGACACTGCAGGCTATGTAGACGAAGGGATAAGCTAGAAATGCTGGGTGATACCCAGACGGCCGTGGGCCTTGCTGTTGTTGCGGCGTCTCAACCCTCAAGGGCGGTACGTCGCTGTGTGTAGATGTACGTTTCTCTGGTAGATGACGACAGCTTCGCTTCTGTCGCCAGAGTGTGTAAAAAACAAATGAGTAGAGGATAATGGTTATGCCGATGGAGACTATGACCCAGAAGTAATGACCCCAGAGTCGCCATGGGTCGTATGCATTCGAGATCCAGCACCTAGATGCAATGAAGTCCACATCAGCTCATTCAGACGCATGCAATGATTCAACAGGATCAAAGCGAAAGGGGATATCTTACCACACATTGGCTCTCATGAAAAAAGATTCGCCAGGAACCTCTGGGTCCGCTTCAGCCACCCGGACTCCTGCTCCATTGATGCTGAAGTCGAAAATCCACAGTCCAGCAATCGCCGTGTAAACTGCCCATGGTGGTGGCTTGATACCCAAGCCCACAGTCAAGAAAGTGTTCACCGCAATTACTGCGAGAAAGAGACTGGCCGCTAAGTTGCTCGTCGACCCCAGCCAACCCTGCGCCCAACACACCCCTGATGGTGCAAATATGCCATCGACAGCTACCCAGTAGGAACTCAGCCCATATGCAAGGGCTTCCATTATATCCGCAAGCAAAAGATTGTAAACAAGAATCGGAAACGGGTTGCGCACTTGTGGCTCGGCATCTTCATCGGCTTCTTGAGAATTGGTGTCGGGCGGTCTCCCTTGGGCTTCCGCAGCTAATCGGTCCAGCTCCAAAATACGCTCAAAGCCGGTGGCCCCGGAGCATGGGGCATCGAGCCCGAGGGATAGGTCGGGGAACTGCGGGGCGGCAGCTGTTGCGGCGGATGCATTTCGTCGACGGGCCCTTCGCCTCTTCCGCCTTCTCTCTTCTAAACGTTCTGAAAGGAGCTTGTACGATATGAAAAGCCACAAGGCAGTAGTCGATACAAATGATAAAAGCGAGAAAGCTGTCAAGACGATCAAGCCCAGCCGGTGGTGTTCTGGGAGAGGCGCCAATGTCCCGCGTTGCGCCGCGGCTGACATGGTGAACGGGCATCTAAGAAGGCCATGAGGAACGGACGGAGACGTTCGAAAGCGTGGTGGGCAGCAAATATAACGCAACCCCTCATTATTTGAGAATATGTGCGCCCTTACACGCCTAGGTTCAGCCTGTCTTCTGAGAATTTTCTTCCAAGTTACTAGCTAAACCTTGAATCATGGTTTGAGGTTAGCCCAAAACTCTTTTGTTGCTACTCCAATAGGCGCGCAGGGTACCGTGAACGATCCGACGCAGGTCGCGTCGCTGCAAAGTCTAAGTAAAAGAACACATCTTAGTTCCTGTCTCATACCTAGTTGTCAACCAGAGATGACGGCGACTATTTGTACCACATACATGGCAACATGTGATGTTTTGAAGGTAAAATGGCGTTTACACAGGTGTGGTGCGCCCACCGGGGAAGTAGAGCGCCTACAGTAAACCTTGTCCCTCGTGGAGGATGCGCGCTGCCCACCAAGATCGGGCGGCTTTTCCGCCGTGAGGGGGGCCTGGAAAGAGCATGGGTTCCCAATCATCAATGACTAGAGCTACCGGAATTACGAACATCTCGCGAAATGGCCAGCAACAGTTTTGCCACGTGAAGATAGACTTCAGCCTGACTAGTGAAGCGTTGAATTAGTGAACATTGCCATGACTCTGCCGTCGGCGACATCGGCGATAATTTGCCCATTTCATCATTTTGAGATAGTATGGGCCATCCTTTGGTAATGTCTCAACCTCGAGGGACACCTTGCCTGACACAGAAACTGTTCCTCAATAGTGAGCTTTGACCTTTGTCTCCAATTTCATGACCACGATTTCAGTGGTTTGGAAAGCACTATGCCGCCAAGGCTCAGTTGGCAACCACAACAGCAGCACTCAAACGGGTCAAATGAGTCGTTGTCAGCTCTTGACGGATTGACAACGCCATCAAGAGTCCTGATGTCTGAGGCCGGAAGTTGCGCAACGCCGTCGGCATGTCGGCCCCGCCACCAAATTAGTCCCCTTCATTCTCTCCATAAATTGTCTCAAGGGACGGCAGTGTAGGATGAGGGGATAACGGGTTTCACCCGGTCGATTCATAGATCGGCCCAAGCTTCCAGACCTCGTGGCACCCTTGAGGTCTCGTCAGGGATAACGAGAATGGGACTTAGCGATCCATGTAATCCGCGAACGGGATTTGTCAATTTCCGAGAGGGTTGAGAGAGAAGAAAAGATTGTCTTCGATACTCAGTCTAGAATTCGGGCTTCAATTGCTATTGTGACTACTTAGGTAGCTCGCCAAGAAACATCCCATGGGCTCTTCATCGGCCCACTACACTGAGGCAACTTTCTAGGGCTCTCTCTCGAATATTGATTCTGACGTGTACACATTAAGACGTAGAAATAAAGCATGTTTGAAGCTTACCGGGACCTATGAAAAGAAAGTTTTTGGCATGCAATTGAAAAGCACTCGCTGCTGTTGACCTCCCACTGTTCAGAACGACTATTCACACCTGTCGGCCGCAGTAATCGCTCATCACAATAGCGTGAATGCCAACCAGGGTCGTGAGAACGTCATTGGCTTTCTGCACCTGGACCCATGCAGGTCGACGGAGGCGAGGCTTCCCCGCTTCCGCCAGCTTTCCCTTGTCAGATTGAACCTGCATCGTGACCTGATCACACCGGATCGAAACGGTTGCGACTGTTTTCATACTCATTTTCCGGATAGTCTGCAATGTCTTCGTGTCACGCAAGTTCCGCTATTTCTGAACGCAAAGACATCCCTATCGCTGGAGATATCGCCAAAAATGTTCATAAAAGCCCCACTGACACGAATTTGTGTGCTGATTGCGCGCGGATCGACCTCGAGGCTGCCTTCGATGAGGCCGCGTGGGACGAAGCCGCAAATGCACGCCACTAAATTTATCTTCAAGACTTGACCACTCGTTCGGACTGGGATCGGTGGCAAAGTGATTGGGTTCAAGGTCCAAGCGACGGATTTCCTCCCTCATGCTGGTTCTGCGAAGGTCTTCTCAAGATATTGTTGAATCCAGATAAAATGAGATTCGAGCGAATATGTGGAAGGCCGTTCGAAAGACTGGTGGCGTTCGACCGGTGGTACCGACCGAAGAGTTGGTATCGCTTTTTTAGGGATGGTGGCAAAGGCCCAAAGTGGTGGGCCCCGACGGCTTACCAACAAATTGGTCGGGACGGAATCGAGAACGCGTTCTACATATCCGCAGTACCAGCCACGCCCCCTGACGAAAAGGCGTCCAAGATGATAAGCCCCCTTCGTCTGCGTCAGCGGCTCCGGGATATCGGGATTGTTTGAGCCCCGTCTAACGTCTCAGTTCGTGGACTTCGATCTCGTGAAAACGTGGATACAAACTTGCAACGAGCATCATCCTCAATGTTTGAAGAATCAAAACCGCCCGACACCACACATTCGACTTATTGACTGCGTTGAGAGGCGTATCATCCGAGCAGAAAGGGGCTCACGCTATGTCGCCCTCAGCTACGTCTGGGGTTCGGCTCCAGCCACAGCCACGCCATCTTCGAAAACAGAACTGGGAGACCTTCCACGAACCATCGCGGACGCGATTTTAGTGACACTCAATCTAGGATATCGATATATCTGGGTAGATAGATATTGTATCCGCCAAGACGATGAGAGCGACAAAATGGAACAGATCCAGATCATGGACCAGATTTACGAATGCGCCGTCTTGACAATTATTGCAGCCGCAGGAAGAGACGACAATCATGGGCTTCCCGGTGTTGGGAAAGAGAGAATTGTGCAAACTTGGAGAAAGGGGCCATTGAGCTTTGCTCAGCTCAAGTACCCTGAAGATGAAATAGAGGGCTCTATTTGGAATACTCGAGGATGGACCTTTCAAGAAAGCATTCTGTCCCACCGAAGACTGATATTCACCGAGTCCTCGGCATTTCTCCAATGCGAGAAGTCTAAGGCTCACGAACTCCTGGGGTATTTGGATCCCACTGGTACGAACGCGACGAAAATGGTCGAAGAGTACGACTCGGCCATGGCTGTGTCCAGTATCAGCAGTTGGCGCTCCGTCATGGTTTTCATTCCGACTGAGGATAGTTCAGTCTCGATCACAGACAAGTTCGAAAAGTTCAAATTGACCACGACCGCATACTCAAAGAGAAACTTTACTTATCGAGTCGATATCTTCCATGGCCTGCGGGGGATTTCTAGGAAATTTGAAAAGACCTCAGCTCCGATCTACAACATTTTTGGCATTCCCTTTGCACTTTACCATGATCAAATTTCGGCCGAAAGATTCTTTGTCTCTGGCCTTAGCTGGCATTGGGAAAGACCTGGTTCACTGGATGAATCACCAGAATGGCCACACTCGTCGAAGTTTCCCACCTGGGGTTGGGCCAAGTCCCTGGGCATCGGTATTATATGGGGACAGTCACTTCGCCTCCAAGATGACCTGTTTCTGTGGCCAACTGGGATTCGATTCCGCACGAATGAACACGCTCCCGCGCATACGCTAGAAGACTGCATCATGCTCAGACGACACGTTTCGCCCATGCTTGAGTTCCACGTTCTTGAAGTCGACGTTTATCTTCTTTCGGTCCCCATCTTTCTTACTATCACGGAGGACACATCGGAAACTACCGTCTCTTTTTGGGCGGAGCCCCGAACCTCCTCGTGGTCAACACCGGTTGCGTGGTTGGAAGATCCCATCATGAACGGAAATAGACTCAATGTTGCGGGCAGAGAAGGAATTGCCGAACAACTATCCGCCGGGAGCTGGGGTATGATGGTTCTGGCCACAGACATCAGGGAAGTAACCAAGGGCTACCTCGAGACCTTCTACTTCTTCATACTGGAATGGGAGGTTGTTGATGGCAGTCGGCGGGCGTACAAAGTGGGACGAATGGAGATCAAAGCAAACGCCGAGGCAGGGAAATCCGGGCTAGAACGTCTGATTAAAGAGCATGGTGTCTCGAGAGAACAAGTACAAATTCACTGAGTGTACTACATTTTGAATTCAGACTTCTTCCAGGACTACCAGTGTCTACCCAGAAATGGCCTTTATCTAGCTGTTGGTAGTTGAATGAGACGGTATTGCATTTGCCTACTGCTCCTAGAGGTCGTCTACTTATGGCTGAGCTTCCGGCCGCTGAAGGACTTAATGGTAGTATCGGCAAAGGAAAAAAGCAATGAGATGTTCTTCTTACTCCACTTTAGAAGATGACTTTCTCATGTCACGGTAAGCAAGTCAAACGATATCACGTGAGTGGCTAAGAAAACCCTCATAGCTGAACGGAATGAATGCTGATATATCAATACGTACCTGTGTCTCCCTGGCGTCCACCATCGAGAGACTCCCGTTCATTTCTTTCTGACAATGGATCGGATCGAATTGTGACTACCGGAGAATTAAGCCCAGACCATGACGTTCAGCCACGAGAACAATAAGATACGTGCGTTGGTCTCACTGACGCAGCCTCGAAGACGCAATTTGATCCCATTCATCGTGAGTATGAGTCTGGAATAGAAGCGAAGTTGAGCCATGAATGCCAGTCGGTATCCCCACCAACCCGTCCCTTTCTGTTGATGGTGTTCAATCTGCTATAGTGAGCGCGATTGTTTTCGCCGAAACGTCGGTTGCTTCTGGTCAAAGACTACAAGATTTTCGAGGACGCTACGATGCCACGAATCAAGCCAAACACCCGCGAGGCTTATCACGGCATTCCTCGCTTAGACATTTGTCTCGGGAAGCAATGCGCCTCCCACCCTGCCAAAGGGCGTTGCGCATGTGTCATTGTATCTGGCGCGTAGGCCTTCGAACCAAAATTCCACAAGGTAAATCAAATGCCAGATTTATCCGGAGCTATTGTTTCTGAATCAGAGAAAACATGCGAACGCGCAATGCCGGACTCCAAGGAATGGGACTGGCACCATTTTTCTCCGACTTTTCTCTGAGCTCTCCCTTAATTCCTGTCGCCCACGATCGCGTCATGACAAGTTCACTCTTAAGGGACACAACCACCGGCGCTCTTCCAGCAGTCGTCATCTCTTGTTGATGCTGTTGGAATAAAGTCCGCGTTGCACACTATCCAAACAGCCGATATGGGCCCCTTCGGGAGGAGACGTCTTGAGGGCCCATCTCTGTTACATCTTTTCTTCACCGTCATCCTGCTGGGTTCCTGGGATATTTTCAGCACGAAGGTCCGTATCTCGCTGTGATTCTCAACTCTTCATGCTGATGTGCAGCCCAGGCGACAGCGCAAACTACCCGTCGAGATCCGATGGAAGTCACCAAGACCGAAGACAATACCGCAACAGAACACAATTCAGGGCAGCACATCTTCAAGGGCGAAAGCTTCTACAGCTCCGAGGCGATGGAGCATATCCTTCCCGAGCACGTGTTCCGAAACAATAACGTCGCGGTCATAACGGAAACCCACCCGGAGCAAGTGCCAAACCTGGTCCCGATCATGCTGCACTTCGCGTCGTCTCTGGGACCCAAGTGGCCGGTGGTTCTCCTTACGCTTCAAGAGAACTGGCAAATGCCGGAATCGATGCAGTTCCGACAGCTAGTGGAGGCGAAGCGCATCGCTATCCTATACCTCCCTCCCGGCACGGCTTTCCCGGATCACAAATCCGTCACGTACTTCATGGTTCGTCCGTGGCTATGGGAACTGTTCTCGCCGGCAAACAGAATTCTCCTGTTCCAGGTGGATAGCATTTTATGCTCGCAATCAACAAGTAAAGTCGACGACTTCCTAGAGTGGGACTTCATCGGTGCGCCGATTTTAAAGAAGCATGGAAACGGATACAATGGCGGGCTGTCAATACGAAACCCAAGATTGTTTCTCGACATCATCAAGGAGCAGCAGAAGAACCCGGGCAGGCTTAAGGTTGAAGATCAATGGTTCTTTGAAAGATTGCAGGAGCGCAAAGCGCGACTGCCCACAGAGGACCAAGCCAAACGCTTTGCTGTTGAGACGATATTTTACGAAACGCCGCTGGGTTACCACCAGCCGAAGCGTTGGCTGCCGAAGCGAATGGACGAGATCAGAGCATGGTGCCCTGAAGTAGACATGATTGGAGGGGGCCAGCACTTTTACTGAGTATGTACTTGTATCTATATTGCCTTGATTTGGTTGCACATAACTGGACATTACCCGCATTGCGCCAATGTCTGAAAACCTTTGGTGAATGAACTACATGGGATGCTCAATGACAACCTTCTCCAAAGATGCAGCTCCGTGTGATACACGCTGTATCTCTTCGATTCCCTTCTCAGCCCCCTTGACGAAAATGACATTGGGATGTCTAGGTATCCGGTCGGCCGTTTCCACCACATATTCCATCACCTTCCGGGTACGAGTAGGGAACCCAGGATCTTGAGGCTCCCCCATTGCCCCAATGCTGCCGGGGGGCCTGTATGTGGTACAAAGGCGAAAATCCGCATCGTGTTTGACGGGGAGTGTGCTAGCCAACTTGATCGCTTCGACGTCCGCGCCGTCCGACAAACACTTGCGTGTGAGTGCCGGAGACGTCTTGTCTGCCTCAACATCCGGAGACATAACACCACTGCACGCCGTGTCGAAGGCTGTGGTAAGCGTGACCCCGAGCTTCTTAACGGTGGCCCGAATGTCGTCAACAACGCTGGGGCTCCTGTAGTCGAAGCAGTGGGTAGCACCCAGGTCCTGGAGCTTGGCGTGATTCTTGGGAGAGGCTGTGACCAAGATCGGGCTGAAGCCAAGCTGTTTTGCGAGTTGGATGGCAGAAACTCCGACATTCGTTGCACCGCCCCAGATCAAGATGGGCCTGCCAGCAGGACTGATGCCCTGAACACCAGCCGCCGGCCATCCGGAGCCGAGGATGTTGAAGATGGCGTCTGCGGCAGCCTGAGCTCCCATCAAGCAGCCACCAGCACCCTTGAGATCAAGCCCTTCCGGAACTTTGTAGGTGAAGGCATCTTCCACGATGGCCTTGTCTTGGTGGGTACCGAGTGAAGATGGCTTCGGGAAAGGCACAGTGGAGACGCCAAAGACAGAATCTCCAACTACGAAGCTAGAATCGGAACCCGTAGCTTCAACAACGCCAGAGAACTCGAAGCCAGTGACGTAAGAATGCAAACCCACGTGGGCGAAGTTGTGATTGATGCCTGAGTATTTCACTGAGATCAAGGCCTGAGAGCCTTGCGGTTCGTACTTTTCGTTGACATCGCAAATGGTGAGGCTGGCATCAGCGCCGAGGTAGATGGAACGAGACATGTTGAAGGATTTGGTTGTTGAAGTGATGGTATGATTGGTTTCTGTGGATATTTATGCCGGCATTATGTGCGAGCCACTGGAACTATATGTACTAGATCATCTTCTAAGTGTTCATCACCTCCACCAGCTAGTGGTGTTGGTGATGTAGTTGAAGATCCGTTAAACATCCGCCGGGGTCGGAATTACAACTCACTGTTGCCCAGCTCCGAGAACAGATCCACTCCGCCGTTGCCGGATAGAAAGGATTGCGCCGGACGGCAAGCCCGGAGCTGTCCAGAGGGCCGACCGGAGTAGTCCAGGCATACTGATCGCCGGAGATGGGACACATCTAGCGGGCGTAATGCCGAAAAGACCAACAAGATGTCAGCCTCTCGAGTCATGGTTTTAAAGTTTTGCCAAGACAAATGCTCGACCGCATTTTATTTGTTGGTAATCAACTGAGGTTTAATATCCGCTGACTTTGCCTACATGAATTCGAACAGACTACTTTCTATTTGTAAACAACCTCTATCTCCTTCACTTTACTAAAATATTCCTTCTTCGTCTCGGCATCTATCGCTTTGCGCGTATGCTTCTCGTTGATGTCTAGAATCATGATGGCGCCCCCCTCAGCCCACGCCATACTTTCGTTGGCAGCCCATCCGACCATGAAAAATCCCAACTTCTTGTATAGGCGCTGACCTGCAGTGGTTGCGATCAAGATGATTGGGGCTTCGTCTTCTCTCGAGCGCTCAAGGCCCCATTCCATCAACTTCTTCCCAACTCCCTTGCCCTGCCAATCCGGATGAGTGTTGAGGGTAAGTAGGTTCCAGAACGATTCAAGCGGCGCGTAAGGGTTCCCCGATTCCGAATTCTCCTTGTCGAAAACCGCCTTGCGCTCGCGATGGAGCGCCTTGTCCAAGTGAAAGTAGTCGACATATCGGTTTTCCCAGTCCACCAGCGTCCTCTCCACGGCCTTGGCAAACCCGGTGTTGTTGGACCGCCATTCCAAAGTGCGAGGATCATCTCTGAGACCGTTCCACTCCCAGCGGGAGTACCCAATTATCTTCCCGCGAGGCCAGTCTGCAGGGTCTTCGTCGTCGGTGACGCAGACGAACGAGTGAATACCTGGCTTTGCGAGACTCGCGCGCAGGGCGCGGACGATGCGTGCGCGCCAGCATTCGGGGAACTCGCGACGGCGAGGGTAGAGCCATACGTTCAGCTCCGCGTCGAGAAATGCATCACTGCCATCCACTATTCCGGGGATGTCGGCATGCGTCACGGGCCGCGTATGCATCGTTGCTTTTGGTGGTAGTTACGGGTTGATGAGAGTGAAAACAAGATAGGCAAACTTCAAGCTGAATGTGCTAGAAGATTGGAGTGGAATGCGTCCAGAAGAGTATGCGGAGATCGCTGGCTTTAAGTCAAGGTAAGACGAGGGGTAAATTTGAGCCGTGATTACGCCCTCTTTGCCAGCGTCGCGGATTCGACCATAACGATCCTTAAATGAATCGCGAAGCAGCGTGGCTTCCCGACCCCGATCCCGTGTTCTAGCCTGGCTGGCTACTCGCTTAGGTAGATGCTGGTGTGACTGCAGTGCACTCCAGGGCCTTTTGTAAGTTGGTTCAGGGTCTTTTGTAAATTCAGAAATGGATTTGAGCCGTGTGATTGGTGCATAGCCAGATCGTATCTAGCAAGGGCGTGATGATGGCAGATAAAGGCGCAATAGCAGACGATGTAGGGAGCCCAGGCCATGCATACACATGAAAAGGGCGCGCCGAAGAACGGCGTTGCAAGGGTTGGTGGAATCCTGACTGCTTATGGGACTCGTAATACGGTCCGAGAACTGACGAAGAAAAGGAAAAGACATAAATGCGAGGAAAAAAAAGTCCACTTTCAAATCTGAACATGAAAGAAGTCGTCGTAACTGAGGTATTCCGTGATATATCTATTTCCTCTATTGATGAAAGTACGATTCTCCCACTATGGGTAAATGTCTCTTAAACTGACACTCCTCAAACTCGGCATCGGGGTCGGCATCCGAACCCAAATGAGTGGAAGCGTGACAATCTCGGGGTGGGGATCATCATACCCAGCACAGGTACCTATGTAGGCTTGACGGCTCGCACTCCAAATGATTCATCTGCGACTGGCTTGTACGCAATGGCGGCTCACAAATCGACATTTTAGTCAATCTGCACGCTTCGATTCACACATAATTGCTTGTAACTTAGCTATGTTTCAACTTGGAGCGAAGGCAGTGTTGCACATGAGAGACTTCGATTCATCAACGATTGGCTCGGCTATCGCACACGCCCCGTCCATACAGCGGCGCCGTGCCAAGCGGCAAACACGGCACTGAGGCCTGACTTTTTAGCCTCACTTTCTCTCCAAATGATCTCTTGTTCCCCGACCCTTGTGCATCCTCTGGGAGCTTCTATCGTCAGCCGTCCGCCCTCAGGGTAGTTTTCCAGGCCTCTCACGTTGGAGCTGCTGGAAATGCCGACTGCACAAGCTGAGCACCGTGTTGAGCGACAGGTGGAGGAAGCCTACGTGAGTTGAACCACCGCAAACACCATCTTCCATTAATTCTGAGGACCAAGTAGCCTAGCCGCCACCCCTGGCTCCCTGCAAAGACGCGTGAAGGCTATCAACACGAGTTCCCGGGTTCAGATCTTGAAAACACTACTCCAGATAAGAGAAGAATCCTTCCTAGAAAATTCGGAGTAGACGACTCGATTGAAGCCAAGTATGTCAATTCAGAGGAAGATGCCGCAACCACATTAGAACTCCATGAGATGATGGCAAGTCACCCGGGCCTAACACCTCACTCTTGCGCCCATTGTCAGGAGTGGGAAATCGATTTTCGTCATTTTCGATTGAATCATCGAGGTAGCCTGGATGATAATCAAGAGCACGAATATCGTGGGTTTGAAGATGGCTTCACTGCTCGATATGCCCAGGAAAAGGCGGAACTTGGCTGTGATTTCTTCAAGAGGGCCCCGAAAGAACGGCGATCGGACTTTCAAAGTAGGAAGAAGAAAGCTTTGAGCGGAGACGAAGTTTCGTACGTAAATATGCGAGAGGATACCAGCACCAAAATGATCTTTCACCTTGCCTGGGAGGGCCCCGATGCGGACGGGTTCGGTGAGGTGTATGAGGTTTACCCTGCTCCTGGTATGATCTTCCAACTTCACAGTTCAATACAAATAGTCAAGACATATCATGCTAATTCACTAGTGAAGGCGACAAACCTCGTTCTAGCGCATTGATAGGCCACATCCCACCCAACCTAGTCTCGAACTCTCAGCTGAGTTACCGCCGTGTCAAGCAATGGATGCACGAATGCCAGAGAACCCATTCGAAGTGCTCGTCTCGATCGAATACATTCGTTCCCACAAGATTGCTTCATGTTTCAGGAACTTCCCAAAATCCAACTATTAAACTCACAACTACGCCACGAGTAGCACCTTACGCGACTCTCTCTTATTGCTGGGGCGGAGACCAAGAAGCGAAAACGTTGAAATCCAACTTTGCGTCTTACCAAGATCATATCGACTTCTCCATCTTGCCAGCCACGATCCAGGACGCTGCCATAGTCACCATTCAGATCGGACTGTCGTATTTGTGGGTTGATGCGATGTGTATTATCCAAGACGACGAAAACGACAAGATGACAGAGATTGCAAAGATGCACGCGATATACCGATGCTCGCTTATAACAATAGCACCATCAGAGGCGGCTACTAGCAAGACCGGATTTCTCAGGCCTCGAGACATGTGGCGGCCCATCAAGATGAAGGCCCGATTCGATGACAACGTCTTCTCGGATGTTCTTCTGGTCCCAGAAGGCAGCTCGTGCAGGCCAAGTGCAGCTCTGTTCCAAAGAGGATGGACGTTGCAGGAGACGTTATTATCTACCCGTGTTCTAGTCTACGGCCTGAGAGAGCTGACCTTCCTCTGCTTGGAAGGCATCAGATCAGAGTGCGGCTCGCACTTGACAGTCGAGGAGATCAACTGGGCCTTCCACCCTGGGAGTAAGATCCACGTGAATATGGAACACCCGCAAAGTTGGAATTACTTGATTGCATCCTACTCGGAACGCTTTCTCACGATCGAGGGCGACAAGCTGTTAGGTATTGCGGCACTGGCTGAAGAATATGGACGGAGCAAGGGTGTTGATGGGTACTTCGCCGGACTGTGGAGGGACAGCTTCCTGAAGCAGGCGCTCTGGACCACGGCATCGTACACCGGATCCCCGAAGCATTCCAAGGGATATATAGCCCCTTCTTGGTCTTGGGCGAGTGTCATTGGCGAGATCACGGGCTTCGGAGCAAGCTTCAACATGCCTCTGGCGTGGCTACCCGAGACAATGCCAGACAACATCACATGCGAGTTGATTGATGTCCAGACAACATTGATAACACCAGAGAATCCTTTTGGAATTGTCAGCGACGGATACATGCTGATACGTGGCAACATGCGGAGGGTCATTTGGAATCGCGAGCACGGCCGGGGCTCGGCATGGAACGGTATAGGGTGTCTCGCATCAAATACCAAAGAAAGTCTCGAGGAAAGAGAAAAGGTACTTCGTGACCCGAGAATGGCGTTCAGGATAGACCACCAGCAAGACTGGCTCGAGGAGGACTTCGTTCTTCTATGGAGCCTTGAGATTTGCAAGACGGATGATGGACGGGGGTATGCGCTTCTTCTTGAGGAAGCAGATGTCAAAGCAGGGGCGTTTCGGAGAGTAGGTCGACTACAAATAACCTCGGTGGATGAGGCACGGGGTAATTGGTTCGAGAGCGAGTGCATCTTCCGGGAGGTTATGGTGATCTAAGCCATTGAGTTTTAGATTTACTCGATAAGGCCTCTGATGCCCTGATATTAGACGGAAGTGGCAACAAAGCGTTATTTACTCTTTTGGCCACGAGAACGACTCACACGTTAATAAATCCCTTAAGTCTGTCAAACCCAGGCTCAACTTGGTCATGGTGACATCCAATCACGGCAGGAGGCTCAAAGTTATCAAAAACGCGATTCCTATGGATTCAGACTGCTGACTGAATCATCTGTGCCTAGCTAAAAAGAACGGGTATTTCCCAATGACTCCTCATAAAGAAACGCAAACCCTGACGCCGTACTTTGCGGCTTATAATCGCGGCTTATAACCTGTTCCATTGCCTTTGACCCTATAAAAACTCCGATGGTCTTCCGTAAGACTCTGTCAAAAAGAAGGTTGAAACCCCCCATCCACCCAAGCTCAAAATGAAAGAGGTCGTGTCGCAACTGAGTGTTCATTTCAGAAGTAATCTGAAACCCTGGCGTAGTCGTTGCGCTGGGCGATGCTAGGGATCTCGCGCAGGTCCTCCAACGGAGTCTGGTTGGGGAGACGAACGAGCTTGAACTGCTCGAAGAGCCCATTGTGCGTGTTCTTCTTAGTTCCAGACCAAGTGACGCTGTAGAGACCGTCGTAGCGCATACCGCATAGAGGAGCCCAGACGGAAAACTTCTTCTTGTCGGAGGAGGCCTTGCGGAGAACGCGAACGGGTCTGCCGTTCATCTGTGAAACGTGAAGAGCAGTGGTTCCGCTGGAACGTGGGGGGCATTGAGTTGGGTTCTTGTGTTCGAGAGACCGAGAGCCGGAGTAGTACAGGACGTCTCCGTGGTCGACGTCGATCTCATCGTAGGTTCCGCTGACAATAACAGAGTAGGCGCCTTGGTCCTTGCGGCCGTGGATACCGGCCTCGGAGGAGCCATGTGCGCCGACGAACAGGGCGCGAATCTGGGAGGCGAACCAGTCGCCGACGGTGAGACCATTGTGACCGATGACTGCAGCTTCGCGCTGCTCGTTCTTGTAGTCCCGGTTGAGGCACTGAGTCTTGCCGTTCATGCCAGTGAGTGCGACACCATGCATGATGCCTCTTCGGCCCCAGACTGGGTGGGCGGGAGCAGGCTTGCGAATGGGGTATTTGCCGTCACTGTCCGCATTGTGAGTTCCGGTGCGAGAGCGACGAGTATTGACTACGGCCGTGGTCTCGTTGTCGCTGGCCGGCGGAGTCAGGGCAAGCGCATCCGCCCTCTGGGCCCAATCATAGAGATCCTGGGCGCGACGCTTGTCCTCATCAGAGAAGTAGCGTTGCTGAATAGACTTCTCAGGATCGCATACAATCTTCAGACCACTAGTCAGACGTTGATGGGCCGTGTCGACAGAGCAAAGCTCGCGGGGAAGGGCATTCGGGAAGGCTTGCTTGCAAGCCTCGACGTAGTTCAGATAGTCTGCGAATTCCTGCTTCTTCTCGACCACGCGAGGGGTGGACTCATCGAGAGCCTGAGGCCTCTTGGACCAGATTGCGAGAAGGCCGAGGACGTTTTTGTTGACCCAGGCGAAGTACTTTCCAGGAGTGCGTTCCCGGGGAGAAGTGGGGACGGTCTGGGTGGAAGGTGCGGGTGGAGGGCCGGTGCCTTCCTCGACTGGAGCGACTGCAGCCATCGTTACTCTTGGATTTATCTAATTCAAAAAAAGGTTAGTAATCGAACTGGTTAAAGTTGAAGTCGATGGTTCATACCGATTGAACGCTTGTGAAATTCGTTGAAATTGTGGCGGTAACGCTGTCGGTTTCTCGGCAGGGCGTCTGTCGGTTGACCAGCCGCACCTAGTTGGTATCGTGAGGGGATAACCAGTCAATAACTAAGGCTAGCAGTATAGCCAAGCCTATGCAACACTTCCCAGCCCGTCAAAGCTGGTGTCGCAACTTGAGGCAGGCTGACGGTCTGTGAGTGAGGGAAGTGTGTTGTTGAGGGGTTTAAGCATGGACAGTTGACGCGCGGGTTGGAAGGTGAGGTCGGTGGTTGCAGAGTTGCAGTGTCGGTGGTCTGTGCAACGGTCTTCCGCCGAAAATCAGCCAATCATGTTGCACAGACCAGGCGCAACTACCCCACCGACAACAACAACTCAGATCGAACAGGAAGGAACGCCGCAGTTGATAACTGCCATTCGCTCCTTCCGCTCAGATAACCCGAAACCTTATCAAATCCCGTCGCAACAAAATATTGAGATATTGAGACATATCGGGGACTTTTCTGTTGGATGACCAACCCCCCCCCCTCCTTTGTTGACCAGCGTATTCACAAATGCGTCAACTTGTATCGTTCAAGAACTCCACAGCGCACGAGGCGCGACTTAAGAGGCGGCAAATTGGAAGCAACGCGACGACAGATGTCATTTGAGTTGCGCAATTCAAGCTCACGAAGAAAATTGGCATGTTGGGCACCCTCAATGGAAAGAATCAACAGGTTCCGTTATTGACTTTCTGGGAAATGACTCTGCGATCTTGGATTGGGAAATCAGATGCCTAGTTCGATGCATGTACGGCCGTTGTCCATTATCTTGGTCGCGCTGCGCTCGTCGCCGCGGAGTCTAGCTCATGCGGTGTCGATCCATCAAGTTCATACGTGGGTAAAGGTGAACCATCCATCTCGACTCGTGACGGTTGAGCTGACATCTCGCTAGGCATTTGGTACGTGTGCTTGCCAGCACTTCGTTCGCCATACGCCCATCCCCCTTGGTCGCTTCCATCCGGCCCGATCGCTGCGGCCCCGGAACTCCGCTTCTGCTTCCACACAAAGAAGATGGCTGCCAGGATCAGACCGACCCCGGCCACACCTCCGACGACTGCTCCAGCTACGGCACCGCCTGAGATCCCACCCGAATCTTCGTTTCCCGCCGAAACCGTACCCGTCGAAGAAGCAGCCGTCCCGGTGCCGGTGGTCGTTGCGGTGTCCGAAGCTGCCGAGGATCCCGTTGCTGTTGTCGCCAAAGTTGACGTCGCCGTCACAGAGCATGACGAGGTGCTCACGGCACCAGCCCACGAAATGTTCGCAGGTAGCGCGGTCGCTGTCGTTGACGTGCACAGGAGGGCGATGCCTTGGCTGTTGTCGCGGTATGTGCCATTGGAGCCGTCCATGCAACACCATCCTCCGTTATCCAGCTTGCCATTTACACCCCAAAGCTTCCAAGATGAATCGGGACACTACGGAATCGTCAACTGCAGCTCGTATGCGAGGTTCGGGAGTAGGACGAGGTATGGTACCTGGGGGTATTCGAGAGCGAGCGATCTGCAGTCTTCCGGGTCTGCACCGGGTAAAGCGCGTCAGCTTCTAATCAACGGCCACAATGAACAAAGTTCGGGAGGCGACTGCATACCTTTGCAGCAATAATTGCCGACATAGTCGCCATCTCCTGTGCATGTGTATCCCGAAGGACAGCACCGAGGTTGCGCGCCTGTTCCGCACTCGACCGGCGCGCTCGGCGGGCAGGACCCCGGAGCCCGGAGAGCCCAGCCGCCGTCGTAGCTGCATTCCTGGCTGAGCGCCGCCGGAACGCTGAAGAGCGCCACCACTAGGCTTCGGACGCGGTTTCGATCAAGCATCATGGCGCTCGCGGGTCAACGGAAAAGGCGTGAAGATGCAGACATTCGAGGTCGAGGAAAAGAGAGGCCGAAACTAGCGGAGCGATCGGGGAAGAAGACAAAACTCTTTCCATGAAAACCTCGTAAACACGCGATTTCCAGGGTCTAGCTTGGGCAGGCATCAGTCCACCGTCGTCGGGAGTCAGCCCTGTGGCCGCATACGAGGCGAAGCTGGCTGAAACCCTCACTGAGGGGTCTGGTTCGTCAATTGGGCGGGCTCGCCCGCCCAACCGCGCCACGGAAGCGACACGATTTCTTTTTACGTGCTGCCAAGCGCTGTGAAATTGCAGTGCACTGCCTGAAAATACCCTGTTTTCCGTCCTGTCGTGCAGCACAGATGGGGAAAATAAGCGTAGCTGAAGAAGCTAAGCTGTGCTAGCGTCTCGGCAAGCCGAACAAGAATCACAGCCACACAGCTTGTAGGGCGCTTATTCTTCTCAGGGAAATCTGTCGCATGGTTTGTGGCTTTCAACGGCGGTCGAAAATCGAGGGAGATGTGTGTGAGGAAGTGCGAATACGTCGTGAAGAGAAGAAGCCATGAAGCCAGCTTTAGTCTTATACAGGTCATCTTTGAATTTTCGAGGGCGCGGTTGACTCTGTAGTCGCCTTCCCTTGCCCAGGACTGGGTACCCATTTAACGGATGCAGGGGACTTTTGTGTCTCCTCTCGCCCCATTCGACGGAGTCTGGGGTAATTCCGTTGCAAACATGTTTGGCCCAAGTTCATGAAGTCGAAAAGATCTCGAGCGTCTTCTCTGTTTGGCTTCTCAACTCCTGACTTGACAGTACTAGGTTTGCAACAGTGGTCAGATAAATTATTCGGAGAAACCTGGCAGCCCAACATGTCTGTACGAGCTCCCTCGACCAGCATGACCATGTGATATTCCCCTGCGAATGTTCATGGGCTGAATAGGGAGTTTACGTGAACAAAGTGTTGAGCTTCATTTATTGAAAACGGCTCATTGTAGAGTGGCGGGCAGGTACTCCAGGTACGGGCATTCGAAACCATTGGCATGCCGTTGGACTTTGAAAATGGGCATTGACTGAAAGCTCTTGTCCGTGCCATCTGTTCAAGGCTGAATAGCCAAGATAGCTCCGCGCCGGCTCCGGCCACCACCCCGAATTCATGATGACCCACTTCGTTCGTACCGGTCATGGCAGCCGCGAGTGTGGGGTGTTGCTCTCGGCACCGGCGGTCGGCATGCCCCGCAGCATCAATACTGCGGCGATTCTGAGCAGGTTACCCATGAATACTGCCGGGCGGGACGGATTCTTCAACCGAGTGGAGAGAGTGTGGCCAGCCCGGAGCGGAGGGTAAGCTGCCTGCATAAATATGCAATGCGGGGGTTCGACCTCCAGCACGCCATCGA